GTGAATGTCATTTTGTTATGTCGGTCTTGGAGTAACAAATTCCAGGTGCTTACTAAACTGTCATACAATAATGCATCATTGTGGCAAAAATACTGATTTGTTCAAAAAACATTTCATTTGTTGAAGACTGTGAAGACCCTTTGATGTAGTTTACGCCATTTGATGTAGCTTACACTACACTAGAGCCAAGCTTGTCTGACTTCCTGTGGGGTAAAGTGAACAATTCTCTAGTCTAGGAATGTCAAGGAAAAAGTGAGATTTCTGGACATTCACCGCAAGGAGCACTAAGATAGACTAAATGGGGTTTTGGGCACACTGCTGTTTCTCAGTTTGAAAGGGGCTGAACCAGAGATTGGTCCCTGGGTTCTGATGCAACAGCTGATGGAAGCAGATTGCTGTAGATCTACATCCCTGGAGCTCAGCTGGAATGCATAGCCTCAGCCTAGAGCGAGCCTAACCAGCCAAATGATAGCATGCTGCCTCAACTCGTTTTCTTAAAGAATGAGCACAGGGCTTTTTGTTTTATTTTTCCATGATGAGGGAATTCTGTGCAAAATGGGATTCCAGTATTGAAGGGCTAGGTAGAATGATTGTGCTAGAAATTTTTAATGTTATGAAAGTCCATTTTTTCTACTTGAATGTCATTAGATATATAGGTGATTTTTGGAAAAGAGACTCTTTTAAAAGAGACTTGCGTGTCAAATTAAAGTCTTGGCTTCTACACGGGTAGGTTTCTTTCATTTCATCAAATTTTTTTTTTTTTTTGTATGGTTGAAGCTTGTGAGAACACTGCTTATGATTACATCACAGGATGAACACGTATACAGCTTTGAAACTTTTTTATGTACTAGGAAAAAGAATTTGTCTTTATGAAGCCCTTATCAAGTATTTGAAATTTTAATTCACTGTACATTAAATTGATTCATAATCTGGTGTGCCAAAGTAATACAATCTGGCTAAAAGTTTTTGCTTTTTGCTCTGTAGATGTGATGTTCATCTTTGTTTTGCAGTGGAAGGACTTTGTGAAGGAATTGGTGCCGGATTAGTCGATGTTGCTATCTGGGTTGGGACCTGTTCAGATTATCCCAAAGGAGATGCTTCTACTGGATGGAATTCCGTGTCTCGCATCATTATTGAAGAACTACCAAAATAAGTTCTTTAATTTTTTTCCCTGCCTTCTTTTCATTATAATTTTAAATGGTTCATTCTAATATTTTATACAATTTTATATATCCTTCTGAATGAAGAACAAAGATAAACATGTTTACAGACCAAAGTGTTTTTTTCACACTGTTTTTAAATCCAGTATTATTCATTTACTTCAATCAAAAAGGGTTTCAGGATTTTGTAGTTTATTAGAATGCTTTCTTCATACTCGCTTTCTCTGAACTTGTAATTTGGAATGTCATTGTGGTCTTTACTTTTTTCCTTTCCTCAGAAAGGATGAACTTTTTAAGATATAGAAGTACCAGTCTTTGTACAGGTTGTAAATGTTCAGAATTATTTTATATCTGTGAAATAAAACTTATTTCAAAATAACTTTAATATCTTTAACCTAAATACCACTAAAATTAGAGACTTTCATATTTGGTCTGAAAAGTTGACTAAATCTAATTTTACACATATTCATTTAACTGTTACCTACTTTTATCATATTGTATATTATATTACATTATATATAGTATAATATATTGATCTGTATTTTGAGGGATACAAAGAGGAAGGGGTGTTTCATCAGGAAATACACTAGTGTTTAGAACCTTAATCCTTATTTAACAAACAGAACTTTGGCCTCAAGTTATTTACCAAGCAACAATAGCATATTCAGCTCTGGTTTATTGTCGATTGCCATGGAAGTTGTGGAAGGAGGGTGGTATGATCTCTGGCTGAGATGGTCACAAAGGATGTTGTGATGTTAGGGACTTCACCTTCATGGTGAAGGTAGCACAGGTGAAAGACTCATGAAGTCAGGTAAATCCCAGGCTTGAATTAGAAGGATGAATTCATAATATACATTATTTTAAATAAACCTAGGAAACAGCACCACTAATATCTCTTAGCAGTGCTACTGAAAGATCTGGAAACAGTGCCCCAATTGTAATCTCTAGATACCATTTCTTTTTTCTTTTCTTTTTTTTTTAAAGATTTATTTATTTGCACATACAGAAGTGGGGTGCAGGTCAGAGGTTCAGGGGCGGCGAGAGGCTTCACCAGAGACAGAGTGGGGAGCAGAACAGGCAGATCGACGAAGTACACTGCTGAGGGGAGCAGCGGGCGGGTCAGGAGAGGTCTGCCACACCATGTGGTCACCTCCGGGCCAGGTGGGGATCGAACTCATGCTCATGCGCAAGTGGCCTTTGCTTCTTAGTGCTGTGCCTTAACCCCTGCGCCACCAGGGAGGGCCTAGATAACATTTCTTGCTAAAAGGATCTTCGGCTCCTTGAAGAAATGGGTGGTTTCAGCTCTGGGACAGGAAATGTACAGTATCAGCCTGGAGCAGCCTGCCTGGCATACTGAAAAAAACTAGGCCACAATGAGAGACAATCCAAGAGCCAACTTGAATTAGTTCCCACTGGCAAAGATGATACAATTTAAGCATCCATAAATATCCTAACTGCAGCAGTTTCAAACAAGTCCAGCATAGTTAAATGCAAGTCCCAGGTTTCTTGCTATCAGCTCAAGATTGCTCTCAGCTCCCAGAGGTTGTTCTCAGGTCCTTGCCATATAGCTGGTTTTCTTCCAGTCCAGCAGGAAAGAGCCTGCTTTTAAAATACTGACCTGATTAAGTAGGTTGGACCCACCCAAGATAAGCTCACTTTGGAGTCTAGTTAACGGATTAAGGGACCTTAATTACAACTGTAAAACTCCTTTGCCAGCTGTCATAACCATAGAGGTGCTATCAGTAGTATTAACAGATACCAACAACACTCAAGGGGAAATTACGCAGGCTGTATGCACCAAGGGGCAGGAATGACAGATCCCTCTCAGCCATGCAGACAACCACCTGGCCATTTTACATCTTTATAGCATGGAGCCAATTGGTAAAAAACAGGTTAACCTACTCAGTGTAGGGATTGATCCCAATTACTAAGGGAAATTGGTTACTGCTTTGCTGGAAGGAAGAGCTACATACAGGACTGTCCAGACCCTGAAGATTTTTCTGAGGTTCCCCTTACTACTTCCTGTGCCAAGAGTAAATGTTAATAGAAAACTACGGAACCAGAAAAAGGCAAGATGATTAAAGATTGAGACCTTCAGGAATGAAGGTTTGGATCACTCCACCAGGTAAGAAACCCAGAGATCTGGATTTTGACTGAAAAATATCGAGTGGGTAGTTGAAGGTAGAAGCTATAGGATATCAGTTCTAATCTCATGAGCAACTACAGAAAGAAACAAGGATTCTGGTAGCTTTGCATAGTTTCATTTTTACATGCATGTGTTGATTATATAAGCTGTTTTCTTCTTTCTTCTTCTACCCATCTTTATTTAAAGTAAAGTTTGGGGGAGTTGGCTTTACCTTGTAGTCTTTAGCTAACAGAATACTTAATGAGGTCATGACTGAATTCGAGCACCAGCAATGAATGCAGTGATCCTTAATTAAGGCTTTGTGTCTGTTTTGCTGGAGGGGCAAGAACTTCACTATCAAGATAACTGTGTCTTGTAAGCTAAGTATACTTGGCTTCCTATGCAGGAATTCAATGGTGCAAAGAAGGAGCCTGTGGGAATGAATGGTCAAAGGGGTCCCCCAAGCCAGTTATCAGTCTATTGCTTCTCAGCTGCAAACTCATCCTGCACCACCTGCTCTCGGAGCTAACAGCCTGGACTCTTTCAGGAGTAGTTTCAGTAGGGGATACAGGCGGGACACTTGGGAGGAAAGCAGCTTCTGTTCCTGGCTTCAGAGTGCTAAGGTCTGCTTTTTCTTGTGCTTCCTGCTGCATGGTCAGTGGTGTGTGTGCCTCTGGTGGTGCTTTGCTCTATTGCACACCCAGAATATAGTTTCAGCTTCCTCACAGACCCAGCCCGGTGGGCACCTTTCTGCAGTCCTGCGAGGGACACCATGTGCTCCAGCCTTATACTTGCAGCAGGGCTGTTGCCTCCCTGGCAAGCCCACTGACTGGCTGGGCCTGTCTGATCAGAACAGTACTGGGCTGTTCCTGAGGCCTTTGCCATGGACAAGATCTGCTCCTGACTGCACCTGCAGAAACCTAACTTCTGCCACCTGCACCCCAGCCTTGTGTCCCAGGGGTTTCTTGTTAATCAAATTCTAAACCAGCTCTGACCCAGGCAACCCAGCACAGGTTCTCCGCACCCAGTGGTTTGCAACTGTCTCCAACAAACCTGAGTGGGAGGTGGGGGGGGGGGGCCCTTCTCTTGCTCCCTTGCTCATTTGCCCTAGGTAGTTTATTAGAGTTCTTAACATGTTTGCATCACTCTAGCATGGCTTGAGAACCTTTAGCTTCTGGGTCACATTTACAAGTGTTGTCTCCTGGCTGAACCTAAATTGATAGGGGGCATGATTATGCATTTGGCACAAGAAGCAAGCATGAACAGCACTTTCTGTATTCCTTTGGGAATGTAAAAGCTACAGAGGATGATGTGTTCACCTCAGTCCTCCTAGACAGAAGTTTTACAAGGGCACCCAGTGAAACAGTCTTGGTCCAGTGCTCTTTGGTCCGTACAATACGTCAGTACAGTTTTGGGATTTGGCATAAGGAAGTTCTCTTCTAGTTAGTTTTCTAACAGGCTCATTCCTTCCTTTATACTTTTCATTGTGAGCTGAATAATCTTTTTGTAAATAGTAAAAACGATGTTTTTATGTAAACTAAAAAGTTTAAAAAATCTATACAACGGGTCACTGTTCATAAAGGTACCATCAGATTCGATAGAAGCAGAGTTCACAAACACCGTGACAGTCGGTGGGAAAGTGATGTACAGACCTTGGGTCTGTATTGCAGGTTCTGTGTTGCCTGAGAAACTTTCAGTTGTAGCTAGTAATAGAAACACTTAATGAGATAGGCTTTAAAGAAAGGATATTTATTGGTTCACCAAGTTGAAAATTAGAGTTACATGTTGCCAGGTGAGACTGTGACTTAAGACCAAATTGCTTTCTTTCAGTAGTCATTTCTGTAGTATTGCATCCACTTTGGACAAACTCACTCCCTGTCTCACCCCACCCCAACCCTGCCCCCATTCATGCTCCTAATTTGGCTTTGAGGAACTCTCAGTTTCATGAGTTCTCATTCATGAAATAGCGGAGAATGTCAATGGACTCAAAAGTTTTTAGAGTCTCTGCATGGACCAGTTTAGGTAACTGCCAGTTCTAAACCTTTCATTAAGGACAGAGAGGGCACATACAGTGGCTTTGTTAATCAAAGCAAGGGAGGCCCATGGCATCTGAATCACAAAGGTAAGTAAGCTCCGCAAAGAAATTCAGAAGGAAAAGGAATAGTGACTGGGGAACCAACAGGTATCCATCAAGTCAGAATCTATTTCCTATTTACTCTTTTAGACGTTTAAGACATTAAGTAACCTAAAATGCCACATTTTCTGATGTTACCTAACATGTCTTTAGATGACAGCCATCATAGTTAAGTAAATCATTTCACAAGTATTTTTATTTCTAGAAGTAATTTTATTATCATTAACGCACCTTGCTATGAAGATGGTTAAAATATTACTTATTTGGATAATTTTATATTCGGTAAAGTGTCCATATTCAAAGGAAAATCCTCACTTGGATGGCTCAGGAACATACCTCTTAGTTGTTCTCCCGTTTCCATTATGTTTTAAAATCGCGACTTTCTAAAAGTGCCAGACCACAACAGGAAACTCTGAAATACAGCCGTCTTGTCACGGGGAGAGGCACCCAGCCGTCCATCACATTCTGCCACGTCTGCGCTCTGCCCAGTGCCAGCACTTGTTGGCAGCCTACATCTTAACTTTGCAGTGTTGTCCTTGGTTTTCCCTGTCAACCTCCACTCTTCTTCCTAGACTTCCAATGCTTTCTTCAAGCTAAAGTTCTTTAACTTTCCTGTAGCTGCTGAAATCCAAAAAAGCACCCGACAGTGGTGTCAGAATTTGCAATATGCTCCCCCTCCTTAGCTGCTTGCAATCGGTCTTCAGTCTCTTGATTTTTGACATCTCTATCCTATAGAAAAAGGGGTTGTCTGAAAAGTCATGACCTAGTTTTCTTTGAAACAGGAAACAGAAAAATGTGTCGTGACTTTTCTGACATCCCAATATTGATGACTGGTGACTTCTTTTTGAGCCTATTCCCCTTTTTTTGAGCCTGTCCGTCTTCTTCTGCCCAGAGATGTAGCCATACCTCTCTATGCCTAAGCACCTTACTTTGATCCATCCATTGAATCCTGTCTAAATCTTGTGTTTACTCCTCCACCTGGATGTGGAGGACTGCCCTTGTTTGAGACTCACCTGGCCAGCCCACCAGCCCTTCTCCACCAAGGGCAGTTAGTCAAAGACTACCAAAGGTGGAAGCAAAGCAGCTCAAGCTCTCATCTCTGGGCAAAACACTTTGTGGTTCAACTGCACTGCAGTCTCTGAGGGGCCAGAAGGAGGTTGAATTTCTGGAACCTCCCCTTCCCCTGCCTCTCCTGTTTTCTTTACTCCACTATAGAGTTCTCCCAAGAGCACACCTTCAATAAATCATTTGCCTAAGAACCCCCATCTCAAGCATTATCCCTGCAAATGAAACGATCTAAGGTAGCATTTTACAGATGAGAGAACTTGACTCAGAAAGGTGAAGTATTAGCATAAGGCCAAACAGAAAATAGGATTAGCAGCTTCCTAGGGTGCATTCTTTTCCATCACACTGCCAAGGCCACTTCTCCAACTAACTCTCCAGGCATCCTAGCCTCACTCTCAAGCCTCAAGCCAAGTAATTCCTATCTCAGAATCTTCCAGTTTCCTAGTCCTCTGCCTAGATTGTGTTTCCTCTACCCCATTGTGGCCTGCTCCTAATTTCTGACAAAATGTTTCAAGGATTACTCAAGAGATCTCTCCTGACCCCAACCACCTCACTCTCTCTACCAGCAACACTCTCCTCAACTCTGCTTTAGTGATACTTATAATTTTTAAAACCTTGAAATTGTTATTCACGCTTGCCTATTTTCTGCACTCACACTGAAATGACAATTCCTGTGGGCAGAATGCTGTCTGGTTTATATCCTGCTGTATCCTCAATGCTTGGTAACAAACCTTGTACAGAACAAAGTTCAACATTTATAGTCAAGTGAGCAGAATTCTTTTCTCAGAATTTTTACACTTTGTAGAAATCTCCTTGGACATTCTTAATCTAGAAATGCAGTTATTTAGTGCTTTATGTTTTTATTGTGCAGGTTTGTATGCTCAAACAGCAGTTAAGTTGTATTTTATTAATTTGGGGGGCATATAGGAGTCACTTACATCATGGTGCTACCACTGAGGCACCAAACGCCATGTCTTTTCATACAGGAACTAACTTTAGGACATTATACAAATTATAGTTTAATCCAGAAATATGAAAAAATATATTACGTTTAATTTATAACGCATTCCTGTGCATATTACAGAGATTATAGTAAATACAATTAGATTCGCAGCATTTCCTCTTTATTTTTAAAACAATGCCATTTTCAATATATAAAAAATAGACCTCTTTTCAAAGAACCATTTCAATATGGCTTTGAAACCACGGTTTTATTTACAACAAATAGATGGTAGTGCAACTTCATTCATGCCATGTTTATGACAGATAGAAATATTCACTCTCCTGGAGTCCTTTGGGGGCAGGCTTTAAATGTATAGCTACCTGCAACTCATGAAAGTAAATCAATAATGACCATAAATGTAATTTGTACTTATGCCTGAATTTCAGCAGTCAGTTTAGATGAATCATTTATTTAGAATCTAGACCCATATACCCAAAAACTGAAGTAGGAAAAAGTTTCTTATTTCCACATAGTTTGTCAACAAACACATACTGATTATTCCAGTATCTGTATATAATATGACCTATTAGCAAATCCATTAAGTGACTTTAAGCCAAGTATGTTAATAAGGCTGATGTGACACAGCTAATATGACACAGCTTGATTCTAGACCTTCAAATTTATAAGCTTAGAAGACACTAGGTACCTATTCCAAAAAGTAACTGGATTATGGTAGGATTATATTTTAAATTACAGAAAAGCCTCTATAAGAAAATTAGTGATGGGAGTGACAACAGATGCCAGGTATTTCTCAAATTATGGGACGTACATAATTTCCAAATTTCTCTGATGAGTGCATTTCAATTAAATTAAAACTAAACCTCATTTATCATGGGTTTTTTCTCTCACTCAGATTTCCCAATTCTAAAATGGTCTGGTTTTTGGACAATGTCTTTTCCACTACATCCTTGAAAACAGCAACAACATTCTTATAAAAGGGTGTTTTCCTGGTATTACACAAAGGTAGATCTTTACAGCCAATCCAGGCAAATGAGTTCAGAAAGTAATGCACATACATCTATACCGTTTAGCAATTGGTGCAAATCAGCTTCTACTTGAATAATGAAATGGAGAAATCGGTGTAATTCTCTGCTTCATGTCAGCTTTACGGTGCGTTGATGGTTCCCATTTCTGGCAGAGATATCCAAGTCCCATACAGATGGGAAAGGCAAAAAGCAGAAACACATAACAATGACTTAGCAGTTCTTCGACACATAATGATTACAGACCAATCCTGATAAGCCATGGTGCTGTGCAGTATTCTTCTGAGTTTTACATCTTAAGCACAAGGTAGCCACATGGCTGCCTTGGGCAGAGATACTGGAATTAACTCCTTTTAGTTTACTCTCTATTTTCCTTAAGGTTAAGCAAAAAGTGGGAGACATTTTCATATACCACAAAAGTGATACAGCAGGCTGGCGTCACTCTAATCAAATTAGGTGCAATTCCTTTGTAAAATCCGCCGATGCCTTCTTTCCTTTAAAGCGAAAAATAGATGTAAGTTTAATTCTCCACATAGCTAGTTTGAAGATACAAAAAGTTAAACCAACACAGGGTTAGCAGTCAAACTTCACTGTGATTTAAATCCATGTTTTCAAAGTCATGAAAACAATGGGGTTCTGGGCCACTTGTGGGAGTCACACTCCTCCTGTGGGCTGACTCAGGGACAGAGGGCAGGGACATCTCAAACTGAACTGATAGTGCACTTTAGTGATGACCACCTTTCAAATACCTTTAAATGTGTGAACATGCAGCAATATTAATTAGTCTATGTAGGCATTAAAAAACCCTCACAGCTTATATAAATGATAGCTTTATTTCCTTAAGCCTACAACAAGAATATAGATAGCCTTGGATCTTGTCATTTCTATTCTCAATAAATATTTACTGACTTGATATGTATTTAGAAATTCTAAATAGTCTGTTCTGGCCTTTCAGCATGAAGAGAAATACAGGGATGTCTACCTATACGTTTAACTAGTCCCATGCTTAAGAACAATAGTCTCTTCTATACAAAGAGAAGTATCTTATAAAAGTTATGGTGCCAGCAGCAGGTGTAGGAGCATCATAATGATACTAAACTATGTTTCTTTTGAATTTGTTTTAATGCTATTTAAGCATTTTATAACATTTTATATATATATATAATATATTTATATATATTATATTTGACAGCTCATTTAATTTTTATAAATCTTTACTAGTCAAGATAATCTAATTTTACAAAGAAATAAAGCTTCAAAGAGTAAGTTTATGGCCCTAATATGTAGTAAATAAAAAAAGGGAAAGGAGAGGCAACGAGTCAAGTTTTTGCCCCAGCACACTCGCCTTTGCTATAAAAATAGGATCAACCAGACATTTTAAGACTTGTGAGTTATCTCTTGGAAGCAATTCTGATACCCCACAGGCTCTTACCTCCATGTCTTTCTGATCACATCCAACACCCCCTTGTATACCATGTGCTGATCCTGAAGACGAGCTCTCACCACTTGATATGGGTATGTTGCTGCTACAGCAAATATTTTGGATAGTGCTGCAACAGATATATATTCTACTGTGTTCTAAAAAGACAACACAAAACATTTCTCCTTAGGATTCCTTTAAAAATACAGAAGTTAAAATTATATATGGAAACAAACATTCAAGATGCTATTTTCCTTCTAAACACAGGCAATTAGGGGTCTCTATTTCTAACAGCTGGATGTCATTAGCCTATAAAAATATAAACAGCAGCAGAGTCAGTAAGCATCTTCACGGCAATACTACTGAAGTGTGTATCTATTAAATCATGCCCATAAAAGTAAATGATACTGTTTTTAAGAACTGTCTTACCAGTTTGGCTTCTGGTACTCTGTTGATATGCTGGTTATATTTCACTTTCAACAATTCATATGCCATAAACTGAAGAGCACCATGTGATGTTCCAAACAGTCCAGGAACAAATCCCTAAAAGGTAAGAATTTAAAAAAGAAAAACTAAACTACCCAAGTTCTCAAGAGACCACAGCTTTCAGGGACAGGGTAAGGAATAATGTGACTTAATGAAAAGTGTTATTGGCAAAGTTCAGACCATCTTCCTCACACCCATCTGTGACATGACACATCTCACAGTAATGAGATAAGCATGTTAACATACAATGCAATATTATAAGCTAAATTACAACCTAGCTTGATTTCTTTTTTAGGACTACAGTTCATTTAGAACCCAGACATTAGAGCTAAAGGAATTTATAACTGTCAGTTATTCAAAATATATTGATAATAATTTATTACCTTATACAATCCACGCACACCTTCATATTTATATATTTTCACAAGTGTATCAAACATTCCTTTATATTGTCGCTGTGGGGGGTTAACAACACCATTGTACTGTAACATAAGGCGAGTTTTTGTTACCCACAATGGATTTGTAATGCAGAGGGTCATGGCTCCTAAAATCAGATTTAAATAAGATTACTTAGCATACAGATATTCCATTATGACAACCCAAATTAAGAACAGTCACTGCCTGTAAAGAATGAGGCTGCACAGTGTTGTACACCCAAGACTCTGAGACAGTCTTAGGGTAAGTGGTAGACAGAAATTTGAGGGGGAGAGAGGGGTAGTCATAAAAACATTCTCATGCAATTAGTGTGAAGCAAATTAACAGGGTAATAGAAATGTGAAAACCTTTCCTTTGAGGTCTGAAGATAAGAGAGATGTCTTGGCTCCTAAATAATGTGACCTCTTGTAGAGAAGTACTGGGGGGGGACTGAAGGGTACTGTGATAAGGAGATTAACAGATATGTAGGAGTAAGAGCTGGCATAATCCAGAGGCGTGGGAGATTAGGGTTAAAGGACCAGAAATCTTAGCACTTGAAAAATCTGCACACATGTATTCGCCCCAACTTTAGTACAATCTTCCTCAAGGCCAGTCAAATAGCTCTTATACCTCAAAAATGAAAAAACTATGTAAAAAGCACTAAGTTAAATTCTTTACAGAAGTGATAATTTTATAATCATCCACTTTCATTTCTTATATGCCAAGTTTCCTAAGTAGTCCTTTATTGAACGAATATTTTGATTCCTGTTTGATTCTGGTCCTGTGAGTGGCTAGGTATTCAAAAGGAGTAAGACAGTTATTGACTTAAACCCAAACAGTAAACATTAAGAAACCAAGGTATACAAAGTTTCAAAATAGGTGGTATAAAGATTATGGGTTTGACTTTTTCACTTTTGAATATTAGGTATATGTGAGACAATTAACCAAGTTTCTTATAATAAACTGCAATACAAAAACTGAAATTATACTTAGACATACTGATTGTCTTGAACTACTTCAGATTCATAACTTCTATAAATTATATTTCCCTGGATAAGTAAAATACCTTTAAATATAATTAGGTAATCAAAATACCTACTAATATGAGACCAGATTAGTATAGTTAGATGTGCTTAATTACACTCTGATGTTCAAGACAAAAAGGGCAAATAAGTGAAAATCAAATTGGAAGTTGGCATTTTTATACTTCATATACTGACTTACCAGCTTCAGCAGCTGACACAAGGTATTCTGTTGCTTCTAACTGTTCAGCTCTTCCTTCTGTCTTATATGACTTGATGGCATTATAGCTGAAAGAAACAGGAATAGTTTTATAAAAATCTGCATAGGTTTCCTAAAGCAGTGAAGTCTGTTTTAAAGTGTGTGTAACTTAACTAGTACCCCCCAAATAAGTCAATGCTCAATGTAACCTCAAAATAAGATCATCTTTAAGAATTGATTTCCTGGAAATGTTTTATTTACTGTGAGGTTATATCACCCCTATGCTTCCCTCACCATGCATATGGCTAGCAATATATCTGTAAAATATTTTAATCACATCAGTTAATAAAACAACAGACAGGAAAATTGGGAGGGGAGGTAATGGGGAGGTACAGTGACTGCACAGAACAGACAAAAGACCACAAAGAGCATTGAACACATATGTCCTGAAGGCCTCTGTTCAAGAACTATGGCTGGCAATTCTGATACAAGACTCAATTGCTCTTTAGCATACTAACAAGCCATAAGCAGCACACAAGTAACCTTAACAAAAGACACAGAAAATAGCTAAGAGAGTAAGAAGCTATGAGATCACAGAAGGCCTCTGCAGGAAGAAGTGGCACTGAGTTGGTGTGGACAATCAGGAAAACAGGCATGTGAGCAAAAGTTACCAACAGGGTAAGTGAGAGAGAAGGAAAACAGCCACACTCGAGTGGCAGACTGACTTGAGTGGCAGACTGACAAGTGGACTTCATATGGCAGAAAATAGTCACTATTGTTTCTCAGCAGCGGAGCCAAACCAGTCTATTTTGGCTACAAATTCCACCTGGTCTTGGAGGACTAGAACTAAATCCTTGCAAACTTCACCAGTAAGATTTTAACATGAAACGTGTATACTTTTTAAAGAAATCCTTAAATTCACCAGGCCTTAGAAACTCTCTTTGAAGAACCTGCCACCCTGAAATTCACAGCAGAATAGATTTTGTAAATACAGTTCCACTGATGTAAGTATGTGTTAGAACTAAAAATTTTAAGAATAAATATTAAGACTGAATTTTAGTCTGCTCATTTAAAATTGTATTTTAAGATTGGTATGGATACTGACATAAAAATTTGAGGGAGCACACAAAATACATAACACAAAGAAAGGGCAAAGCTATTTCGCTAAATATGCCATCTATTAAAACAAAGAACTGCATCTGCACGCATGGCCCGAGTCTCATCCCTCTTCGTGCACTGCGGAGTGGCACTTGCTCCTTCCTCCATTCAGTGCCAAGATGCTGTGTTCTCACGCGCTGGTACATTTAATAAGCTGCAGGCGCCTGCCACAGGCAGGCTGTGACTTCTTCAGTAAATATGCAACACTAATTACTTCAAATGGTTATGGTATATGACAAGTAAGGGAGCTAAGGAAACAAACGACATGGGCAGGTTGACTAGGAGCTAAGAAGGAACAAGTTTCAAACTCAGCCAGTAACCGTTTTGTTTTGTTTTTCCCAGTAGGGCTCTTCTAGTGATATATGTTCTTTCAAGGACCCACAGTCTGTCCCCCTTCTGCTTTTCCAACTTCACAATGAGTCAAATATATTTTAGTAAGCCATCTCCCTGAATTCATCTCACAGGAATGGCTTCTGTAAGAGTGTTTCTCCGTCCCATCCTTTCATTTTCTTCCTGTTAACTTTCCTTCAGTCCAAATATCTCTGACAGAGAACAAAAACAATAACTGGACAGAACATGAAACTAATAAGCCATTTTGTACTTCTGACCCTTCCAATTCAGGGTCAAGAATGAGCCTTCTTACTTCATCATTATGTAATAATCACTGAGAACAAACGAAAATCATTTTATTTAATACTGTAAAATCTTCTAAATCTACTCACAAGAAAAAGTAGAGTCCCCAGGATAAACCTGCACCCCACACATTTGGAGTTACTCCTTGGTACAGTCCCCGTAGTCCATCAATTTTCCAAATGGTAGTCAAACAGTGCACAATTCCTTTGTATTTCGGTCTCACTTCCAATCCATCACTCACTGCAGTCAAGGATACACAAAAAGTTAGGTGAAAGCAAAGTTCTTGCTCTGAATATCAAATAAAGATTAGAACATCACACACTCACTCAAACGAAGGAGGTAAATTTAGAAGAAAAGCTTTTTTGGCAGAGAAAAATTATTTAGTACATTAAAATTAACACATTCGTGATTTTATTCAAGCTTTAAGTGGTTAGTATGTCCTCACTAAAAATTTGGATTAAAAAAAAAAGATATTAATTTCACACCTGTGAGAATGGCCCACCTCAGAAAGATCATGAACAAGTGGTGGTGAGGATCTGGAGACAAAAGAATCCTTGTACAATACTGGTGGGGATGTGGGGAACAGTATGGAGGTTCTCAAAATATTAAAAATAGATCTACCATATGATCCAGCTATTCCACCCCTAGGTATCCACCTGAAGTATACAAAAGCACTGATTCAAAGCCTAAATTCATTGCCACACCATTTACAATAGGCCAAGTTATGGAAACAACCTGACTGCCTTAGGATAGTTGAGTAGATTCAGAAGATGTATGCACACACAATGAAACAGTACACAGCTATTAAAAAAATAAAGTTTTGCCATTTGCAACAACATCGATGGAATTGGAGGGGATTGTGCCAAGTTGAAATATATTAAGAGAAAGACAAATACCAGATAGTGTCACTTAAATGTGGACCATAGAGAAAACAGCGTCAAATAAAGTCAAACAAAATCTAGAAATCTAATTGTAGAATTGAGGTTACTAGAGGGGGAAGGTAGAAGGCACAATGGTGGACTAAGGATGTATTGGTGACAGGCTTGGCACGTTCATCTGAAGGGTATATGTAGATCTTGAAAATCAGTTAAAACGTATTAAATAAATGTTATCTCAAAAACAGTGACATGAGGAGTGACAGCAAACAAAATGCAGAGAATAGAGGTAAATTTTTTCTGTAAATTCTCTTTTTACCCTTCCTACCACCACCACCACCACAACACACACACACACACGCACACGGACAGAAAGAAGAAAAAGTATCTACTCCATCCACTATTTTCAGGAACTCTAAATTAATAAAATGATAGGGCAAAGCAAGAATTCACATCAATCTTGAAAGCTTAAGAGCTAATACTTATTTGACGAAGTAACTTTAAACTTCCATTTTGCAAAAGACTCTACATAGAAGAAACTGAAGAAGGAAATATTTGTGGTAGAGCCTTGTATCTAATATATGAGAAGCAGTCACAAGCCATTAAGAAAATGACAGCCTCTAAGAAAAATGGACAAATTATATGACTGTCAAGCCACAGACTAAAATGGCAAGCAGCACTAGATGGTTCAACTTCACTGACAAAACACAAAAGTACTAACAGTTCTTTTTGCCTTCCAGATTGAGAACTTGAGGTTTGTTAATGGCCAATGTTGGTGAGGGTGTAGGGAGACAGGCACATCCATACCCCTCTGCCCTTTTAAAATAGTATAGAAGACAGATTTTTATTAAGAAAAGTTAAATGCAGTTACCCTTGACCTGGCAGTTACTCTTCTAAGACACAACTTAGAGAAAGATCAGCCCAAATCTACAAAAATGTGCTTAGAAGGAAGTTCGTGTAGCAGTTTCTTTGACAGCACAAATGAAAGCAATCTCAATATACAATGATAAGGATATGTTTAATCATGATACACCTATACTCTGGACTACTCTAATACGTGAGTGCCTTATACATGAATATCATTAGTTTACTTTAAAACTACTCTCTACAACTACATGTGTATTTCTATAAATGCTTGGGTATCCTAGGAAAAGGAGTGAACTGAAACACTTCATGTAGTTAATAGTAGGTATCTTCAGGGAATGAGATTGCTTTAAAAAGAAAGCGATTTATGGGGCCTCTCTTATGGTGCAACAGGTTAAAAACACTGCAGTATGAAGCTCTCTAAAGCTACTGTAGCACGAGTTCGATCCTGGCCAGCCAGGGAGGTGCCCCATATGGTGTGGCAGATGTCTCCTGACCCACCCACTACTCCCCTCAGCAGTGTTATTTCATAGATCTGCCTGTTCTGCTCCCCATTCTGTCTCTGGTGAACCCTCTCAACCTACCACACCTCTGGTCTGTACCCCAGTTCTGTAAGCATAAATAAATCTTAAAAAAAAAAAAAGCAAGAAGTGATTTACAAAATATAGAAAGGAATAAAGATGAAAATGACACCACTCAGATATGACTGCCCTTTCTGTGGTGTATTCCCCCCCCCTTTTTTGTCTGTGAATGGAAGTGTCAGTTCTCTTTCTCTAAGCCAGACCTTTCGTCAACCTTCACATCTATGCAGACAGATGTGACCAACAAAAGCTGAATGTAGATATTCTACATAAACAGATCTAAAGTTGAACTAGGGGTTTTCCCCAGTCAGAAAGCTGCTCTTATTCCAGTGTTCCCAATGACTCAATACATGGCACTACCAGCTTCGCAGATGCTTGTGTCAGAAACCTGATGGCACTCCACACCTTCTTATCAATTAAGAAGCCTTCTAAGGTGCTGGTTGATCAGTCTCTCGTGGACTTGATTCTCAGGTCACACTGCATCATCCTACTTCAAGATTCCATTTCCTAACTATTGACAGCAATTCAATTTCAATGAATCTTTCTGCCTGTAGGTTTGCTGCAAAGGACCTGGCTGCTCCCAACCCCCAATTTATTTTGTTGTAGGTTAAATAACCCTTCTTGAAACACTCACTTCAAAACTTCACTTATTAAAACTATTCTGCAGCATATAATAACCTCCTTAACATAGTACTTAGGACTCTCCATCACTCATTTCTATCCAGAGCCCCAGTCTCTCTAGTGTCTCCCTGCACACAACGCTGCCTTACTGAAATTACTGCACAGGTTCACTGACATCTACATCTTTTCATTTGGTGAAAATTGTTAGAATGTTCAACAACTTTTAGTCTTTATACAAACTATGACTGTAAGGTTTTTGCATAGGTGCTCTGAACATTCTCTGTCTTCTCACTCACTACTCCTCCATTTAGCTTTGATTCCTTTTTTCAGGCCTCAGTTTAATCATTTCACCAGGTGAGCTTTTTCCTATCCCCTAAATGAAGCCATTTCTTTGCTCCCACAGTGTACCATATTTTCTCTATTATATTAAAACACTTCTTACTGCACTTTTTCAATTATTCTGGCTTCCCAGTAGGAAGATGCTATGGGGCAAGAACTAGTACGTCAGCGCAACACTGCTACTTCATACATAGTGCTTGTATATTGCAGTCTCAGTATATATTTCTTTAATTAACATATCCTGAACACCTCCTGTTTCCTGTCTAGATCCACTCTGCCATGCTTTGCTCCAGAGCCATCTAGCTTTTAGTTGAATTGGGTTAGTAGGGAGCCCTGACATGAGATCAGAGAAATGTACGAGCAGATGCAGGTATTTGCAGAGACCTTATTGACATTCACTTTATCTCACAGTATCTGAAGATAATGTTTTTTACAAACACCTCTGCCAGGAAAAAGATTATGATCTAAAGGCTCAGATGATGGCTAGTATATTTTAGTAATAAAATATTTTCAGGTTAAGGTATAAACATTTGTTTTTAAACATATGTTTTGCCTTATTAATACAGTGTATGTACCTATTGTATATGTTAGCATAACTTATATGTACTGGGAAATAAGAAAATTCACGTGACTCACTTGACTGCGAGCCTGGAACAGAGCCACTCTGACGTGTGCTTTTTCTATGGGGTGGCCCTGGGCTAGCTTTGGTCCTCTACTGAAGGTCACCGCTCCTTCAAGACTGCCCTCATCCAATGACTCCCCTTGTTCTTTGACTGTTCAGCGAGCAACAGCCCAGTTCTATGGCTAAAATACTGCAGTATCCATTGTGATTTTCATATAATCTGCTCATATTTTTGTAAACAATCTTTTAAGAACAACTACATCCCAGAATTATCTTAAATCAAGTGTGATTCCTGTTTCCTACAAGGAAATGGGATTAACAAGAATGCCAAGTTTATAATTTAGATTAAATATTTTTAAGTTTGTATTTTACTATACAGTTTTTCATACTTCTCCCACCCCCTCCAGAGCATATTATGAGAATTCCTACTAGTTATTTGATAGACCTGCAAAAAATAAGTTTTAAACACCTTGATGGTTTTGCTCATCAAATATTCTGTATTTGTAGTTATTGTCCTCACAGAAAAGTTCTCATTTCTGTAAATCACTAGTAAAAGTTCTCTAGAGAATATTCTATTCAACATTTAGTACAATTCCTAAGTTCTTTGAGTTAGCTATTAAAAGGGGAATTAACTGGGTCAAAGACATTTAAGATCACAAATACTAACTGAAACCGCCCCCCAGAACCTCTCCACAAATTATAGATCATTACCCATATGTACAGTTCACTAGTCACTACTCTCCTATGAGGGGAATGGTGCCTGGAAAGAAGAGCCACTATTTACCATGGCTAACAAAGGGAGGAAAGCCTATTTCTAACCTGACAATGTTACAGCAAGTACACTAAGTGTTGTCAGAAACCTGGATTTTGTATCTAACTGCTCTAGAAACTGCACTCCTCATTTTCCTGCTCCACCTCAATCTCTTCCTTGCTTTTAGTGAGTGCTTCCACCCCCAAATATAAACACTCTGAAGTATCTCCTGAGAGCTTCCTCTTTGATCCTATCTTCTTATCAGTTAAGCTCCTAGAACAGATAGCTACAATCTTAGCTCCAAAGCTTCTCAATCCATTGCAATTTGGTTTGGGCTTCCACAAATTACTCCAAGTGCTCTCTAGATCGAGACCTTCAAGTGCACTTTTGAGCCTCTTTTTTACTAATCCTTTAGTAGCATCTGATGTTTTTTACCCCCTGAAACACTCTTCTATGGACTAGTTATATGCTACACTTTTCCTGATTCTCTAGCCATCAAATTTCCTCTGCAGCATCCTTTTTAAACGCTGAGTTTTATATAGGCACTTCTTCCACTCAACAGGAATGGTTCTCAAATCACCCTGTAGCTTCAACTGCAATCCTGAGTACAGTTTTTGCATTTCTGAAGAACTGATTTTATTTCTAACATCCAGACTTGGCTTCTGTTGTTTTTTTTTTTCCTCATGGAATGAAGGCTGTGTAATTTGGCAGCTTAACTTTCTAGAACTATTTTCATTTCCACTCCTAACATCTGACCCTTAAACAATAATAAGCTATGCACCTATGGTTTCAAAGGGATAATATACTTTGCAATCAGACTTCCTGAGTTTGAAATCCTGATGTCAACATTTCCTGTGTAACCCTGAGGAAACTTCCTGACTTTGCTGTCCCTGAGTTTTCTAATCTATGAAATGGAAAAGACAATAGAACCTAACTCTAAAAATTATAAAGGATCAAGTGAGTTAATACATATAAAGACCTTAAGGTCATGCAAACATTCAATCATAAAGTTAATTTATGCTACTGTGGAGCTTGTTATACCATGTACATATAAAACCTGATAGTGCTATTCTTGTTATTAGACTTGACATGTTGATTCCTTGATTAACTTACTGATTGGTAGGCGATCAGATATTAGAATATTTCTATTTTTATACCTCATTCATGTTATTATTTTTGGGGTTCTTTCTCATCATTCTTAATTTAAAATTATATCTTAAAACTAGAAAGAGATGCCACAATCCCCACTTCTGACTTTCATATCCTATATCGGAGTTATCTTCTAACCTGTCACCCAAGCTTTAAACTACTTCCCTTATCCCCAGTTTCATTTCTTAAATAAAATTATTTTATTTTTATTTAAAAAAATCAGTATTTGCCATTTATTTACATAGTTTTGGGACTATAACTTCACACTTCAACAGGTACACATGCTCCACTCACCCCCAAAGTTCCGGTGCTAATACGCTGTCATATTACCCTCTGGTATCCACAATATTTTTCAGAATCTACAGTTATGTTCGTTGTATCATGCTAGTTTGTTTTATTTGGCTATTTATATTTTACAAATCAGTGAAATTGGCTATTTATATTTTACAAATCAGTGAAATTACCTGGAAACCGTCTTTCATTTTCTAACTGATGTCACTTAACACAATCATCCACTTTTTTAAATCAAAAAACAGTATTCTGTCTTTTTAAATGGCTGAGGTGTGTTCATTTCTAAGTACCTACTGAACCTATGTAGATACAGTCTTCAGTAACTCATCATCTTAATAGTCTAATAGTCTACCTCTACTCATAATTTAGTCATTTGGATTTATTCCATGTGCCCTTTAGTTTTATGTTGTCCAGCATTATCTTTTATATGACTAAGTCTCGAATTACAATTAAGACTATAAATTGCTCGAGGGCAAGAACTTTTTTAGGTGCTCGGATATCACAATCCACAAATAATATCAGAAAAAATATATACCTGGTGAATCGAATCAAGTCACTTCTGCAGATCTCACTAAAAGTAAAGCTTTACTTCTAGTAAAAACTGAACTGCCAGGAAATTAATTTACAAATAAAGTCGGCAAAACCTTTTTTCAAGCTACCTTTTCCAGAATTTAGTGTTAGCTTTACAAACTAAAGGATTTTGTTGATTTTGATATACTTAATACACTTAACCTAAGTAAAATGAATTGTATTTGAATTCTAGTTATTCTTTTTTCGCAGGATCTTCTTCCACGCTTATGAATGACAAAAAACAAATCTTGAAGAGAATTCTACACCAAATGTATTTCCAACTGCCTGCGGAGGATTATATCTCACCCCAAGCAATTGCATTTTCCTCTGGGTGCAGTTGCCAAACACGTGGTTACCATGAGGTATCAAAGTACCTCCAAAAGTGAAAGATTTGCAAGTGTGAAAGCTTAGTCCTAAAATGTGGCAATCCCGTTCGTATTACAAGCCAGGCTCATATTACAAGCCAGGTTCTGAATCCCACATTTTACACCAGACTTATCTCTCCAATGCTCCCGCCTATCTTAAGTCTTGGGGAGCCGGGACCACAGTAGCCAGATTCGCAGGCTCCCCTGCACCAAATCTATTCCCGGTAAACATCTTCAACCCGGGCTTCTTGGTAAGGGAAAAGGGGCGATCAAGGCCCTCTTCCCCATCTTTATCACCCCGATCTGGGTGAGAGAATAAAGTAAAGGAACCCAGGGGCCAATAGCTGCTCTCACCAGCAAAGCGGATCTTCACGAGGTCGAGCGGGTGCAGCGCGAGGTTGGACAGGACCCCACCGCTCACGCCCGCCACCAGGTTCTCATATCGGACGTGGCGAAACACCGTGTTCCACGCCGGCGACCCAGACGCCGGCTGGCCCTGGCCTGTCATAGGCTCGGGGCCCGCCGATACCACGGCGTCTAGGGCCGCGGAGGTAGGACGAGAGGCTGTGGCTGCCACCGTGGCGACCGCCGCCGTCCCACCGCTGAAACCGCGGGGCGCGAGCCCACTTCCGGGACCGGCGCCCGAACGCAGACGCCGAGGCGCTGGAGCGAAGCCCGCAGACCGTGGCGAGAGACAGCCGGGCAAAGAGAGCTGCACTTCACGCAGCGGAGAGCGCGAAGTGCCCAAGCGCCTGCCTCCGCCCACACCGCGCCCCGCCTCGCTCCGGCACCTGGCGCGCCCGGGGAGCCGCCCCCGCCTAACCCTCGTCCGGAAAACTACGGAGCGCCGCGGGGTCAAACAAACACGCTAGTTTCCAGGACGGGAGTCACGTGACCGGAAGTAGACGAGAAGAGGCGGAAGTAACATGTGCTGTTGGAGGCGGTGGTAGCCGCGATTCGCAGAGAAAGACTCCTCGGAACGCGGAGAACTAGCTGTCAAGATGAAGGTGAAGATGCTGAGCCGGAACCCGGACAACTATGTCCGTGAAACCAAATTAGACCTGCAGAGAGGTGAGACTTGTGCTCCTCAGGAGGGAGCACGCTAGTCGCGACTCTGGCTACTACCTGGAAAAGCTGGGGGACTAGTGCTTCAGTCTCTTTGGCGGGACTGGTGCTTCAGCCTCCCTTCAGCGCGTTCACTTTGTGAACAAGGCTGTTGCGGTCCCAGTAGCAGAAACGTCTCTTCAGCTCTTTGTCCCAGGAAATGCCCGGCGCGAAAGTCGGTTTATGGGAAATGCCTCCGCCTCCTCCCTGCCAGCTGCTCTCAGGTTGTCGTTGAAAAGTCGAATTTGAATAAGTCACACACTCGTGGTCCGAAGGATTTAACTGTTAAACAGGCTTTTTAAACTTATGTTCATAGTTTTATCACTTCACTTAATATTACCGACTGTGGGGAGAGGCAAAGGTGAAAGATGAAGTCAGTCATCCGTTATCCACTCCTGTGGAGAAGTTTGATGGGGGAATGACAAAAATGAGTGTTATTTATATCCGTTAAAATGCTGATTGCTCATGAATTACAGCTCATGATATCGAAATGGCAAAGGGCCATCAGTGTGTGAACAGGCTTTTCGAAGTGAAGAGAATAACGTTTTAGAGTTTTTAGGTCGGGAATGAACTTTAAGAATAAGAGAAGGGCCATGGTAATGGATTTTGAGTAAAACAGACCATAGTAGATGAAGCTGAAACAATAGTTTACTATTTTACTTGAGTAGTAGAGACTATCAGCTTATATATGAATACTGCTACTAAGTAAATAATATGATCTTTGCTCACAGGATGTTCACAGATTAGATGACAAAACGGTGTTTCAAAAATGACCTTCTGTCACTTGAACTTGACATATCCCCACTCCTTGAACCTCTGGCCCCAATTTCGTCGCTGTCACTTTTCCTACAGTCACTTACATTTACTCTGGCCCAGCTGAATGCATTTCAGGCATTATCTTTCAGACGTCCTGTGGCACACATCCTTACCTAATTTAGCTTCTTCCTCTGGGAAGTTTTCTCTGAACAATAAATTTTCCCTGATTATCCTGTATGATTGTTCAACCCTCCCCACTTGCCCCCCACGCACTTCTAAGAGCTCTCCTTTTATGCCTCCACATGTTTTATGCGAATGTTTCACTGTCTTTCAATTATGAGTTTAATTATCAGCCTTTCCTATTAGACTTATTGCAGAGGAAGGGAATTTTGCTTCTGTAGCCACTGTATTTAGATACATCCTGCACATAGTAGCTTTATAAATGTTTGAGTGAAGCAGTGAATGATTGGTCATAGAATCTTAAAATTAGTAAGTTATTAGTTACCTGATTATCTGATATTGTTATTAAAAGTCTTTATTTTCTATATTTTCCTGTTACACTTTCTGATGAAAATGTTAATTGTGGAATGGAAAAGTAAAAGTGTTAAACTAAAACAAAATAAGGAAAACATGAGTCTTCCTTATTCTTTCATTCTCATTTTCTTTAAGTTTTGTGCAGTATTTAGTGTGTGTAGATACATGCTATGAGTTTGTAGCTGTGATATTCTCAGCGCATGTGGTATATGTTGGGTTCCCGGTTTAAGTATGTTGAATGTTTATTGATGACTGAATGTATGAATTTAGAGGTGTGCAAGACCATGGTAATTTGAAAGCTAATAGAGATTATAGGAAATTTATGCTGAGTCTATTTAAAAGATGCACATAGTTTATTTACATAGATTTGGATGGATGAAAGTTGGAATACATTCTTGGTGGAAAAGTTGGCTTCGGCAGGGACTCAAGAGTAGAAAGTGGAAGGCAGTTTTAGGTGACAATTGATAAACTAGTTTGGCTGGAGTTGAGTTTATGAAAGTACTTAAAGCACGTTGGCACACATTGTGTTAGGCCAGTAAGGATCTTGAACTTCATTCCAGTGACCAGAGGACTATAATGAACTAAGCTATTGATTACAAAGTGGGGAAAAACAATACTTCAATTTATGTTTCTTATCCTAAGAAAATAAAATAATCTTTATATAATTGGATTGAGACTCGCAGCCTTTTATTAGCTGTATGTTAAATATTCATGTCTTATATATGATACTCCAAGTACCCAGAGAAAAGACTGGAGGGTTGGTAAAGGTGTATTTGCTTCTGTCAAATGATGTATGGCAGCATATTCATTAGACAATTATATTAAACAATAGACTCTTAATGATGACTTGTGAAGTGTTGGGGAGGACCTTGTCTTTTTTCCCTGCAAGAGGTTTCTTGATTATATTCTGACAGAGTGCTTACAAAAGTTGTAGAATATTAAACTAAGCATTTTCAAAATTTGCAGAATGTTTCTGTGGCTATGAATACTAAATAGGAATTTCTTTTTGGAAATTCCTATTTTGGAAACACTTAACTAAGGTCCATTTTTAGCCATGAGCAAGGAAGTGATTACTTTTCTTACCATTTTATGTGATAGAGAGATCCTCTTGAAAATTTATGTTTGGAAATGCTTCCAACATTAAAAATAAATTGTTCTGAAGATGATGTGTCATCTATAAAAATTCATTTTTGCTTCCATGAAAAAGTTGGCAAAGTGATACACCTTGTTGAGTCCTTTTTTAGCTATTAAAATTATTAAAATGCTAATTATTTAGAGGTACACTATTGACCCCAGAGTGGATGGAGTTTTTCTGCATACACTTTAGAACTAACCTTTGCAAAATGGGTGAATAGAACTGAAAATTAAATCAGCATAGCTTTGGATCTATATCTTCTCTTTGAAACTGCTTGTTTTTGCAGTCCTTGTTTTCACTGTACCCTATTAGCTGAATCAATCCCACTCTTTGACAGGTTCCCAATGACTGAAATCACATCTGTTACCACAGAAATATACAAATTGAAGAATTGTTTCCTGTATTCCTGTGTTCCCCATGACAGGATACCATGCAAAAGCGAGTTCTTCCTGTATCTTTTTTATTTATGGTAGCTGTTAAAACTAAACATTGAAATGAAGTTAAAATCTTTGAGTCACTATATAATGTTGAGGGGTTGTTTTTTTTTTTTTTAAGATTTATTTATTTGTTCATACAGAACTGGGGTACAGGCCAGAGATGCGGAGGGTGAGAGGATTCACCATAGACAGCAGGGAGCAGAACAGGCAGATCGAGGAAGTACACTGCTGAGGGGAGCAGCGGGCTGGTCAGGAGAGGTCTGCCATGCCATGTGGATCTCCGCCATGTGGATCTCCTCGGGGCAGGCGGGAACTGAACTCATGCGGAAGTGGCTTAAGCTTCCCAGTGCTGTGCTTTAACCCACTCTGCTACCAGGGAGGGCCAGAGGATTTTTTTTTTTAAACAAGAATCTCTAATCACCTGTTCTCACTACATAAGTATAAACCTGTTGAGGTCAAATATCTCAAAAACTGTTACTAAGGAGTCACATAATCAAAAGAATTTTAAGACCACTGTTATTGGGAACCCTTGATAGTTTCTGAACATGCAACTGACATGTTAAAAGTTGTGTTTTAGGGTTCATCTGATGATAGTTTAAACTGCTTTCAGATCGAATAGTGATTTTACAACAGTCCAAGTGTAAAGTAGTAATAACCAGAACTAACTAACTGTAGGTAGAAAAATTAAAAAGGAAAGAATGAGTAAGAAATATTTCAAAGGGGTGAAGTTGTAGTATAGGAAAATACATTTACTTTTAGATGTTGAGTATTTTTTTGACATGTGAACTTAAAATGATATCCTAAGCGTAGATATTGACTGAAACATACTTGGTCGCGTAGCTTAATAGTTAAGAACATGGATTCAGGAACCAGACTGCCTTGATTGAATCCGGATTCCATCATTTAATAGACAGATACCTCAGTGCCTCAGTTTCCCCACCTGTAAAGTGGGAGATAATAATAAAACAATCCACAGGGTGCTGTGGAAATTAAATGAGTTACTAGAAAGTATTTGAAACAGTGCCTAGCATATGGTAAACTCTTGTCTCTTTAGTAAATAAACATGTTCATGAAATAAACATGAAATAATCAGAATCACAACATTGTATACCAGTAGTCAGTGCAGGGATTAGCACAAGACATAATAATTCCCTGTACACAAAGAGCTTCCAGTTCAGTTTGAAAAACACGCTGTGCATGTCTGTGCAAGTAGACATGGTGCTAGGACAAGGACTTGTAGAATGACAGTGGAGGCAATGCCCATGAACGCTTACAACCCAGATCAGGAGTTGGTTTGTGCAGAGAGATTCCAATTATTTTGCAAGGCATTCTGTGATTTTCTGGTAATCTGGGGAAAATTCTGAATGTCACATTCAACTTTTGTGTACTTCACAATGATAGGCACAAATCAGTGTCTGTTGAAGGCTTATTGAATATAATAAATTGAAGGACTAGCTGAAGACCGCAGGAGATATTAAATGTGAAGAATTTTACTAAAAGTTGTTTTTATTTCAGTTCCAAGAAACTATGATCCTACCTTACATCCTTTTGAAGTCCCGCGAGAATATGTAAGAGCTTTAAATGCTACCAAACTGGAACGGGTTTTCGCAAAACCATTCCTCGCTTCCCTGGATGGTCACCGAGATGGAGTCAATTGCTTGGCAAAACATCCGAAGAGCCTTGCAACTGTCCTTTCTGGGGCATGTGATGGAGAGGCAGGTGTCACTCTGGACATTAATATTTTAAACTAATGATAGTTTTATCACAAATACTACATTCTATTATATTTGAGATACTGTGGGTTGTAATTGGTCTGATTTCACTTTTTTGTTTCATTTAGTGTTATTCTCAAGACTAAATTCTGCTTAAATTAACTTTAGTGGTTTTTGATTGAAAGTTGGGAAATTTAAAATAGGTACCTTAAGATTCAATTTGACAGTAAATAATAAACCATTTTTATACTAAAGCTATGTAGGCATGAGTTTTCCCACGGAGGATTTCAACACTCCTATTTCCTACTTGGTAAAGAAAGAAAGCTTTGAAACACTAAACTAGAATCAACAGAGTATTTAACAGATAGCATTTTCTTCTTGATGTACTTATCCATCTGCACTGTAATTTTTAGATCCAGGGGTTTTGTTTTCAGTTGACAGAGTGATTCATAACCTTTCAGTATTGAATTTATTTTCTTTGACTGTAGTATCCCTGTGCCTGAATGTTTCATATTTATAGTTCACTGTAATTTCCTTGTATGTTTTTTCATAGGTCAGAATTTGGAATTTGACTAAACGAAAATGTATTCGCACAATACAAGCACATGAAGGTTTTGTTCGAGGAATATGTACTCGCTTTTGTGGGACTTCTTTTTTCACTGTAAGTATAATGCAATTAAGTAATTCTCAGTCTGATCTATTTGAATATTTCCCAAATTCATTTTTTTTGGTATTTCACAATACAAGATAATTTATTAAAAGGCTTAGAGTGTAATTTTTCTTTATGTAACCTAGCCTTCCCCATATTTGTATTTATTTAAAAAAATAAATAGTTAACATATTGTACTAATATTCTGTAAAACATTGAGAAATAAGTTGGATTTGTGCAAGGTGAGGCTAGAAAGGTACTTTGGTTTACTCTGAAAGATTTTCAGTACTAGGGATGCGTAATTTGTACTTTGTCAGATTTGTGTGGGGGTCAAAATATGTATAACATAAAATTTGCCATTCTAACCATTTTAAACTTTACCTATAAAATTTCAGTAATTCACCTCATTATACAGCCATCAGCACTCTCCGCCTCCAGAACTTTTCCATGACCCATTAAACAGAAAATCTGCATTCCCTCTGCCCCAGCCATGGTAGCCACTGTCCTGTTTACTCTTTCTGAGTTTCTCATATAAGTGTAATCATACAATATTTTCCCTTGTGTCTGATGTATTTCACTTAGCATACTGTTGTCAAGGTTCACGCATGTTATAGCATGTGTCAGAACATCTCTTCTTGTAAAGACTAAATGGTATTCTATTTTACGTATATACCACATTTTCTTTACCTGTAGCTTTTATCATTGGACACTTGGGGTTGTTTCTATTTTTTGGATTTTTGAACATTGCAATTATTTATCCATTGAAAGCTTTTTAAAAGAGGCATGATAGTCTAAGTTGTGATTTGAGGTGATTAATTTGATAGATGCAGTGTTCAGTTTGGAGGATATTTTAATAATCTGAGGGGTGAAAATAGTGGGAAGTAGTTAATAGGATTAGAAGCATTTTGGAGGTTAGGAACACTTGACAACTAAGGGGTTCTCAGAAAGATGATGGTTTCTGTTACAGAGATGCGAAAGCCATGATTGTCAGAAGTACAGAGAAAAGTGAGAATGGGAAAGATCAGGTGTGATGAGCTGGAGTGTCAGTGGGTGGCTCTTCAAGTGAAGATGTCCATCAGACCTTTATAGATGCAGGTCTGGGGCTTAGGAAAATCAAAGCTTAACTTGTCATCTTGATTGAAGCTGTGGCATGAGATCATGAGTGAGGAGAGGCTGTCTGGTAGAAATGTGGAAACACAGAAAATCAAGAAAGTGTTGGAAGTGCTCACCTTTAAGAAGTGGGAATCTTGGCCCTTCCTGGTGGCGCAGTGGGTTAAAGGGCAGCACTGCAAGTGAGCTGCTTCAGTGTGAGTTCCATCCCCAGCCCTGGAGGTGACCACATGGCACAACAGACCTCTTGTGTCTCGCCTGCTGCTACCCTCAGCAGTGTACTTCATCAATCTGCCTGTTCTTCCCACTCTGTCTCTGGTGAATCCTCTCACCACCGCTGCACCTCTGGCCTGTACCCTGGTTCTGTATGTATAAATAAATAAAATCTTTAAAAAAAAAAATAGAGGTGGGATTCTCAAGGAGAAGCCAGAGAGCTAGAAGAGCCTATGAATGGCTTAGTGTTCTAGGAGGAAGGGATAGTTGTGTGTCTGACTACAAAGACTGAGAAAAGTATTTTTGAAACTTATATGTTATATCTATAAAAAAGGAGGTTAAATTTCCTGTTATATTTTTCTCACTTCTAATACTTGAGCAGTTTAGTATATAACTTCATTTGTCCTAACCTCCATATACAACAGTATACACATGTAAAAATCAATCTTGAAAAGCTTAGTGGTGAATTTTTAGGGTACGGTTGACTAGCCTTCTTAATGCAACATTTAGATCGCACAGGAATAATAAGGGAAGAAGAGGTGACATCTGGGAAACCTGACAGCCTACTTAACTATTTCCAAGATTGTCATGTAAATGAAGGAATAGAATTACTTGTTCAGTATATGCCATTCTATGTTTGTATTGGAATAAGTGTTACTGTTAGTAAGATTTGGTTTGCAGCGTATTCAGTTGCTTTTCACTAGAGGAGTAGAGGCCCTCTCTGACCCAGTATGTCCTATGTTGTAGGAGGAATTGGTAGGAGTTGTGGCAAATGTCTTTCATTTGGCTATACTTCTGGATATATTGATTAATATACTCAGAGAATTTACCTTTTTTTTAATGCTCACAATCAATAAAGACTGAAAATGTTTTGTATTTATTTGTTTCTCCCCCTTTTTTAAAATAATGTTCACTTAGCTAGAAAAAAGCCACATGTAATTTCAGCATTTAACATTTAAAAAATGTTTAATCTACAGTGTTGTTTAAGAGAAACCTTTATTACCTAAATTTCATATTGTCTAAGGTATCCATCCCACTTTGTGGTACCAACCTATGCTCCTTCGGCTGACTTAGCCTTCTTGGCTTCTCATTTCTACAAAATGTTAAGACTTTCTCAGGAATGGTGGTCTGCTGAAGCTTATTTTACTCAGTAGACTGTAGAGCAGCCTAGTTATTTATAAGAAATTTCAGTCTTGAGCTTACAGAGCTGTTTATCATAAACTTGAGTGAAAGAAGCAGTCTTTAGAGAGGGGATTCTCAATGACAGCTTACTCTGTTTTCCATAAATGTTAAAATAAACCATCAGAACAAGCCAGTTCTGCCAAGACCTCATGACCTACATTACATCTTACTGGCTCCCAGTAGCACTGGGTTTCCAGAGTTGACTTTTGTTATGATATCAATAGCTCAGATTCAGGATTGTTAATGAGGTATAGCCCTATTAAATATTATTTGGCTATTATAAAGATGTTATTAAAGATTCATTAGCATCCCAACAAAAGAAATTCCTGTCTGATCTTCTGTAACTTCTCTCCTAATCACTTTTCTACTTTGATCTCATGGACACAGTGAATTACTTTACAAGAACTATTTCCCTTTTTGAGTTTGATGCAAGAAGAGCTCTTAGTTCACACTCCTTCAATAGATAAATATATCTTTATTAATGTTTTTACTTAAAAATAGATTAGATTATATATAATAAGGACCTGTAAAAACCAGAAGGTTAATGTACTTGGTAATTTTACTTTCAGTTAAAACTAGCAGTTTGGTGAATTTACAGTTGTAAGTACCACATGTGATTATTTTGTTTTTAAACCCACACCAAGTTATTATGTATTCTGTTTTGCATTTCACATACTATCTGGAACAGTATGTCAGGTAGCATAGTTTGTTGCCTTGCCTTGATTTGGGTGAAAATGCCAACAGGTTTACCAACATTGCTTTTTCAGCATTCTGTGCAAATATCAACACTGTGAAAGGGTGAAAGGCAAAGGATGTCTTTATTAACATTAAAATAGTTTTTCCCTTGTAGGCCCTTAAGGAATTCTCAGGATCCTTCAGAAGTCTACAGTTCATGTTGAAAACTATTGACTTAATAAAGGAATTTGTTTTGGCATGTGTCATGTGAAGGGTTTTATCCATACCAACTATACCTTATGTCAGATATAATATTGGTTCAAGCTTTTTGTGCAGTCCATTTTTCTCCATACTTTGAAATGCCCATTTCTTATAATAATGGCATTTTTGGCCATATTTATGACCTAATTTTGCTACTGCTTTTTTTTCCTTTCGTTCTATTCATATTTCATTTTCAATTTTCTGAACTAACATAGTAGAAGATTAATGCATCAGTAAATATGATACTGGAAAAATATGGTGTTATTTTTAAAACTGGAGATGTTTATAATTTGATCTATGCATTGACAAGTTTATAATTTATAACTGTTACTCATTATCATTTTCATAATAAATATTTCTAGGTTGGTGATGACAAAACTGTGAAGCAGTGGAAAATGGAGGGACTGGGCTATGGAGAAGAAGAAGAACCATTGCATACGATATTAGGAAAGGTACAAAAATAAATTAACGCTTTTATTATTAAAATCCTCTTACAATTTTAATTTCCAGAAAGATTTAAGTTAAGAAATCAGAGACTTAATAGTTTTGTTTTGAACAATATTTAATACAATGACGGTCTGCAGCTAAAGAATTTGAACAGTTCTTCATTGTTCATTGTAGTAGGGTTTGATTTGTCTTTTTAGGGTTTGATTTGGAGACAGTAAAACATTTGCTACAGCAAGACTGGAGAGAGTTCCAAAAAGAAAAAGGTCAGGCAGATTCTGTGTGATTTATATCGTAGATCTTACAATAAGTTCAGAATTTCTAGCTTGAAAGAATGACTTAGGAAATGAAGCAGTGTAACCATATGATGTTTTTCTATAGATCTCATTTACATTTTTTACAATGCTATTCTGCAGATCAAATGATACAGTTTAGTTACAAGCTTTAGTATAATTTGGAATATTTGATATTACCTATGTTTTATAATTTTGATATTAAAACTGCAAATTAGATTTAATCTTTAAACATGCATTTTTGAAATTACTTGTGTCATTTCAGCATTAGTTGGAATATATTTAGATTCTGCTTTTCAGAGTTCAAGAAGTTCTAAATGTTACTCAGGGGACATACATGAGATGGAAATAAGTTGCAGGTCCTAAATTGGCTAAATACTTCCCTTCAGTTTGCTTTACAAATACTTTATACTATATAATACAAAAACAGACTCTAATGTGACCCAGAGTAGATTAAGCACATATTTCAAGAATATAATAAAATTTAATGAGGTCTTAACTGCCTTTAAAAATATTAACATCTACCTTCACCACTTTTATCCCTCCTCTTAAATTTTTTTTTTTTTTTTAAGATTTATTTATTTGTACATACAGAACTGGGGTGCAGGCTAGAGGTGCAGCGGCGGTGAGAGGCTTCACCAGAGACAGAGTGGGGAGCAGAACAGGCAGATCGACGAAGTACACTGCTGAGGGGAGCAGTGGGCGGGTCAGGGGAGGTCTGCCACGCCATGTGGTCACCTCCGGGGCAGACGGGAATCGAACTCATGCAGAGGTGGCTTTAGATTCTCAGTGCAGTGCTTTAACCCGCTGCGCCACCAGGGAGGGCCCCCTCCTCTTAAATTTTAATGCAGTTCTTGGTTATCTTTGTTTCTGTCCTGAGAATCAGTATTTCATGTATTAAGGTGGAACAGAGTTTTAGAATTTATGGTTCTGTTTCATTAGTCTGTTTCAAAACCCTTCAATACCCAATGATAACTTAAACATTAAACATTGTTACTTCAGTAGTTATGTATTCATTAAATAGACGCCATGTTAAAACATTTTCTTTTTTCCTAGATACATGACAAGAAACATTACTCCTTGCTATTCAGTTTTCTTCTTTAAGATTCCAAAGAAGTTTCTTTGTGAACAGGAATTTTCCTTTAAAAAGATTGTAGATTAATATGTTTAAAACATTTATTCTGTAAACTTGAAGTATTAATGAAACACCTATCTGTAACAACTGTTTTGCTTTTCAAGACTGTGTATACAGGAATTGATCATCACTGGAAAGAACCTGTTTTTGCCACATGTGGACAACAAGTGGACATTTGGGATGAACAAAGAACCAATCCTATATGTTCAATGACTTGGGGATTTGACAGTATAAGTAGTGTTAAATTTAACCCAATTGAGGTAATGTTCTTTTTGAAATGTTTTCTATTATTTTCTTATTTAATATTTTCAGCTCTACTTAGGAAATATTTGCATATATAGGAATTTTCATGGTGTTCTGATATTTGGTTATTTTTCCAGATTACATTCAAAATCTGATACCTTTGGTGAGAGTTCTCCACTTTTTAGCCAGATACCAAAAGTTAAGTACCATGAACACATTTGCCTGTTGGGTAGCATCCAAGCACATACTACACTAAAATTTCAGTAATCACTTCATCTGGGAGGGGCTGAAGGACTAGAGCAGGGTTTGGCAAACTATGGCTTGTGAGCCACTGTCATTTTTTAGTAGTAGTTTTGTTTTGTTTTTTAATGGTTTGAGTAGCTTTACTTTAACTTATATATTATTTGTAGCTGCCATTACCATAGCAGAGTTGAGTAAAACAATACAGAGACCATAGAACCCACAAAGCCTAAAAAGTTTGCTAATTGCTGGTCTAAATTATCTTATCTCTACTATATCTTCCTCATTTCATTTTCATTTCCCTTTCTTATGTTCCTTTTGGATATAGAAGTGAAATATGGCATAAAAGGACAAGCAGAGCCAGGCAAGGTGACACTAGGCTGGAAGAGACTGCAAACACAAGCACATTTTGTATCTTACTTGCTATGAAACTAATTTGGAACTGTATTTACTGCTAACATGCCTTTGTATCGCTTAGATAAGTGACAATTTTTCTCTATATTTGTTTTCTTTAAGATATTAATTATACTTTACAGGGTAATTCATAGGACCATTTTGATTACGCGTGTAATATATGATGATGTATGTGAATATTCTTAAAAGGTGCTATCAAATTTAAGATGGTGAAATTATGCTATTGAAAGAAATAACAGAAGAATAGACTGATTACTTCTTTTCTAAAGGTTGAGATCTTTGCTTCTCTGTTTTGGTAAACACCTGGGTCAGAAGAGATAATGGCCTGTTATAAAATCATAACTTGTGACCTGGTGACCAAGTTTTCAAAGTTGCCTGTATAACAGCTTAGCTTTTTTTTTTAATTAGCATTACGATTTAATAGTTAAAATGGTATAAAGGTCTCTTACTCTATATTAATAAACTTAATAGAAAGGGCATGTTGCTGTGAACAATTAGAGTATATTTATCCATTTTAACCATTAATAATTAATTTTCTTTTAAAATACTGTAACCTAAATTCTGTTAAATCCAAAAGTGAGTTCTGCCTCATTTTATAATATGAAGGTAGATGTTCGGTCTAGGTAGAATTTTTTTTTTTTTTTTGCTTATGCAAGAGCAAAGTCTTTAGTTTTGGAAATGGAGCCTGGTCAGATTTGGTGGTGACATGATGAGAAACCAAGAAGGTTATGTGTAATCACTAACTAGAAGAGACTGTATTGAAATAAAATATCATAAAGCTAATTCAATAAATCCCAATTTTTAAAAATGATTTATTTAGGCCCTCCCTGGTGGCACAGCTGGTTAAGCACAGCACAGAGAAGCTTAAGCCACTTCCGCATGAGTTCGATCCCAGCCTGCCCCAGAGGAGATCCACATGGCGCGGCAGACCTCTCCTGACCCGCCCGCTGCTCCCCACTCTGTCTCTGGTGAATCTTCTCACCCACCACACCTCTGGCCTGTACCCCAGTTCTGTAAGCATATATAAATAAGTCTTTTTTTAAAAAAAAGATTTATTTATTCTTACAGAACTGGGGTACAGGCCAGAGATACAGAGGGTGAGAGGATTCACCAGAGACAGAGTGGGGTACAGAACAGGCAGATCCATGAAGCACACTGCTGAGGGGAGCAGTGGGCGGGCCAGGAGAGGTCTGCCTCGCCATGTGGATCTCCTCTGGGGCAGGCTGGGATCGAACTCACGCGGAAGTGGCTTAAGCTTCTCTATGCTGTGCTTTAACCCGCTGTGCCACCAGGGAGGACCTAAATAAATCATTTTTAAAAATTGGGATTTATTGAATTAGCTTTATGATATTTTATTTCAATACAGGTGGTAGGAAATAACTAGCAATTCAGTTGGGAAATTTCTTGTTTCTTCTGTATTTGCAATAGGAAATAATACTAGGAACAAACCATGAGTTGAGTGTCAGAAACCATGAGTAAGGAGGAATGGTGTTACAAAGGATGGATTTCAGGGTTCTACTGGCAGGGAAAGGGATTATTTCTGTTAAATGCTAAGGGTTAGTACTTTTAAGTTTAGTGCAGCTAACTTAAAAATAGATTTAATATTTGAAACAGTTGGACAAAGCCCACCCCTAATTTGTACATAGAATTAAAACAGTAGGAAATGTTTAAGTAACTACTAATAAAGCATTAGTCCTTGTAATTAGAAAATATTGTCATATGGATTTTAGCTTCTAAATAATACCACCTATTGCTTCTTGGTTGCAATAAAATGGGCATGTCCCACATAGTATTGTATGGTGGTATAGTACCTTGTAAAACAGTTGTTTATACTCATTGATTTATTAATACCATTGAAATTTCATGCTAAGAAAAATAAGAGCTAAGGGTTGAAAATACTTATAGTACTGAAAAACAGGAAGCAAGTAAGTTGAAGAATGAGTAATATGTTCTTTTGTGAAATACTCAAAGTTACTTGTACACTTTTATCACTGGCATCAAAAATATGTACATGGAATTTAACAATGACAGTATTTGACTTAGGTTGCTTAGATTGCATGATTTATTATACCTTCTTAAAGTAAACTTTACTGTAATGATTTTGTATCTTAAAATAAACATTGTGTGTAAATTATTTGTTCACTGAAATGAACATTTACTGCCAAGCTTGGCTTTTAACTGGTGATTGTTATTTTTAGACATTTCTCTTGGGCAGTTGTGCTTCTGACAGGAATATAGTACTATATGATATGCGGCAAGCTACTCCTCTGAAAAAGGTGAGTTTCATCTTAGCTTCACTTTATACACTTGTTAATGCATTCTTCTGTAAATTGAGTGGTTGAAAATGTGGAGCAAGTGTTTTTTTCAGAATTGAGAGAAAAAAATTTTGTAGACATTTTCTGAGAAACCAAAGGGATCATAGTGTTACTGTCTTATCTCGCTGGTTATTGTAGCCTAGATTTTGTCTTCTGTAATTCCTGTAAGTTTTTAGGCCTCTAGTTCTTACTGAATTGAAATTTCTTAAAAGCACTGCATTCTATTACTTCACACCCAATGGTTATTATGTAATTCATACATTATTTAGAAAGTTTTGTAACTGATTGACTTTAGCAACTTTGTTTAATTACATGTGGTTGACAGTTTTGTTTAGACAAGAGCTATCCTGTTCAAGGTGACAGATTTCCCAACAGTTTTAGTCATTGCAGGATTGAGATATCAAAGGTAATACAACCTTAGGGTGACACTGAAGAGAGAAATATTGTTGGTGAAGAGAGGAGTGCTATTATAAATAAAAGGATATAAAGTTGATTTCATATACTGGCACTCTGAGTGTAGAAAGGAGATACCGTTCCTGTACTACCAGCCCATTGTGAGAGTCCACAAGTAAAAGCAAGCCCTCAGTGCTTTTCTTGTTTCTAAATCACTTTTATAACATGTTATAAATCAGAAATATAGAATATATTCAATGATGCTGAACTGATAAATATGATAATCTGTCTAACATACCATTTGAATCATTTCGCTCATTCATGTGATACAATAAGAAGATTCTATGTAAACTTTGGTGTTAGAATTTAAGTAGGCAACTTATGGACTATTTCTCTTGTGAAATGGTTATTTTAGTAACTACCTTATAGCACATGATTGTGATTAAAACAGGATACTTTAAGAATTTAGCAAAATGTTTAAATATGGAAAATATAAATAGCAATTTATGCTCCCTCTTCTCCAGTCCTGACCCCATGCTCAATATGCTCCATTAATTTTGACTTGAAGAAAAGAACTATAACTTGGCTTTTAACACCCTACAAAATCTGGTCCCAGTTTGTTTTCCTTTTATTTATTGGTTTCAGTCAGTAAGGACACTTTTGATTACATGAGTCACCTTTGTGGAGACAAAGATGTTTTCTATTATTTCTCTATTCTAGTTAATAAACTATTGATGTTTCTTCTATCATTTCTTTTCTAAATGTAGTAGTTCTCAATCAGGAGTTGTACTGCTTCATTAGGTGAACTTTTTTGAAATGTGGGAGAGGCATTTTAGAGGCTGTTCCTAGCTGTTAGTGGGCAGAAGCTTGAAAGATTGAATACCCTAACCCTACCATGGACAGTTATATGCAATAAAAGATTGTCTTACACAAAATGCCAGTAGTGTTCCAGTTACTAAATATAATATTATAGTCATTTCACATCATGCTTAATTTTTTTTTTTTTTAAAGATTTATTTATTTGTACATACAGAACTGGGGTACAGGCCAGAGGCTCAGGGGCGGTGAGAGGCTTCACCAGAGACAGAGTGGGGAGCAGAACAGGCAGATCGACGAAGTACACTGCTGAGGGGAGCATTGAGCGGGTCAGGAGAGGTCTGCCACGCCATGTGGTCACCTCCGGGGCAGGCAGCAGGCGGGAATCGAACTCATGCGGAAGTGGCTTTAGCTTCTCAGTGCAGTGCTTTAACCCGCTGCGCCACCAGGGAGGGCCATGCTTAATTTTTGAAAGCTCTCACAGGACATGATGACGGGGGAAAAAACAAGAACAAATGTGAAATCCAAAATTTGTCATAAATTATAACAAAAGTAAACAAAATGTTAACAAAGATAAATGTATTATTTAATGAATCATGATCAAATATATTCATTGATGTTTTTGATGGGATCAAACTTCAAGTACTTTTTGATATGAACCAGATGTCTCAATGGCCATTTTGGACTGAACCAAATGTCCACTAACCTTTGAAACCTTTCTTCTTTTAACCCTAAGCTCATCATTAAAGTGCCCATATTTTGGTTCTTACTGTTTCATTGTTTATATTTGACTTTTATATGTATACCTTTTTTCCTGACTAAATTATATGTTATTTTTGGACAAAGGACCAAGTTTTAGGCATTTTTATGTTTTTCAGTATTTATATTGAATATACCACTTACTGATTGATTTTTTTCCTCCCTATTCCATTGAACTGAGTTCTGTGAACATAATAAATTTTACTAAATATTTGCTAAGTCAGTCAAAAGAGAAAGAAACGAGGACCTCTTTGGTAGCGCAGGGGTTAAAGTCTGAGCACTATCAAGCTACTACCAGCCACTGCAGCATGAGTTCAGTCCCTGGCCAGGGAGCTGACCTCATGGTGCAGCAGACCTCTCCTGTCTCACCTGCTGCTCCCCTCAGCAGTTTATTTCAGTAGATCTGCTTGCTCTGCTCCCCACTATGTCTCTGCTGAACCCTCTCACTGCCCTCGTGCACCTCCAGCCTATACCCCAGTTCTTAAATGCTAAATAAATAAGTTTTTTCTTTTTTAAAGATTTATTTATTTATTCATACAGAACTGGGGTACAGGCCAGAGATGCGGAGGGTGAGAGGATTCACCAGAGACAGAGTGGGGAGCAGAACAGGCAGATCTACGAAGTACACTGCTGAGGGGAGCAGCGGGCGGGTCAGGAGAGGTCTGCCACGCCATGTGGATCTTCTCCGGGGCAGGCGGGGATCGAACTCATGGGGAAGTGGCTTAACCTTCTTAGTGCAGTGCTTTAACCCGCTGCGCCACCAGGGAGGGCCCTAAATAAATAAGTCTTTAAAAAAAAAAGAAGGAAACAAAATGAATTGGGAAGTATATCCACTTTAGAGGTAATTAATTTCATGGGGGTTAATACAGACTTTTTTTTCAGGTCATCTTAGATATGAGAACAAATACAATTTGTTGGAATCCTATGGAAGCTTTCATTTTTACTGCAGCAAATGAAGATTACAAGTAAGTTTCCCTCGTTAATATTTCTATCAGAAATAACTATGTCTTACTAATGAAATGTTTTCCTAGATAAATTCCTTAATATACAAATTAGAAAACTATTGTTAATTATGCTAAAAAAAAAAAAGTTAACCAAATTGGAGAACTTACTAGAAAAGTATTTTTAATTTTCAAAATGATACAGACCAGGGATAGTAAACTATACCGTGTGGGAAAAATACACCTCATACCTATTTTTTAAATTAAGTTTTATTAGGATATAGTCAAACCCATGCATGTATTGAAAATGGCTACTTTCTTACTATATATAATACCTAAATAGAGTAGTTCCAACAGATCTTATGGCACACAAAGCCAACAGTGCTTATTATCTAGTCCTTTACAGAAAAAGTTGGTTGATATTTGATGTGGACTATAGAGATAGTAACTGAACCATACATGTTTTAATAGAAACTAAAATTTACACCTACAGAATTTGTAGCTTTACAGGTAGCTGGTACTCATGTATACATGTGTTATCAACTATCACTGTTAACTCAAAATACAGTTTAATTTTACCTTAATATTTGCATACATACTATTCTGTTACTCATGTGAAGATGACTTTGCCACCTTGAATTTTTGACTTGGGTAATTTTATAATTCCTTATATAGTACTTTAAAACTTGTTGACAGCATTCACATTGGTATCTTACTTTATCTCAGTATCCCAGTAAAGTGGATAGGACATATATGTTACTCTCTTTTAGAGATGAAGATATTGAGTCAGGGAGTTTAATATCCTAGTGAGGAAAGAGTATCTTATTCATCTCTTTTTTTTTAATGCAGAGATTTATTTTAGTACTATGTCTATGATGTATATGTGGTCTTTTTTTGAGTAGGTTTAAGTTTGTCATTGTTTGAACTTTAGGTCTTCTGTGTTTAAAAGTTCTGTTCTTTCTACTACTACTATTTATGTTTTCACAGTAGTATTAACTCATAAATAGGATTTATTGTGCAATATTTTAGTAGTAACAATTAAAAACATCTATAATGACTTCCTGTAACTAAAAGCTCAGTTGTACCCTCATTAACTAGCAATACCAAACCAAATTGAAACCTTTTTAGTCTTTATTGATGTTTTGAAATTAAATGGCCTTGTTCCAGTTAAAGGGAGTTAAAAGAAAGTTATGCTGACCAATCTTTCTGATTAACTATTTTGGCTAATTAGAATTTTTCAGAGTATCCCTGGAATTTCTATTTTTTTCTTTGAAAGAATTATGTATAGCAACTGAAACATTACATTTCTTCTGTGACGTGACAGAGCATCACAGTTTGAAAATTACCTTAACCGTGACACCCTTTTTCTGTATTTTCAATATTTTCTTTTATTGCCCTTTACATAGTCAGTAATCATTCTGAATTAGAAACCCCAACTTCAACTTTAGACCCAACCGAGTAACGGCTGTAAAATTTGAGTAAATCGTTTAAGCTAATGCTGTGCCATGTTTTCATGAGTGAGAGTACTGGAAAAGATGGCCCCTAATGAATCCTTTAACTTGAAATGTAAACATTTCCCATCCAAATGGGTTGATTTGCTTGGGGTTTAAATTAATCTTTTTCTCATATAGAAATGAAAATATTTATTTAAATAAAAAACAGAATTTGCAAAACAAACATGAAACCAGTGCTCTAGGCAGGGAATTAAAGTTGTTAACTCAGAAATTTAACCTCAAACATCAGTATCCCCTGGCCTTACATTCCTGTGTAATGTTGGAAGATTGAAAATGAGGATCACTTGCCTCTTAATGGAAGATTCATGATACTTGGAATAATTTGTTATTAGCATCATTAATCTTAGCATCTTAAAGAGTTTTGGTGTTATGAACTTTGTGAAGTTATACTTGTTATGTTTACTCTTTTGAAGCTGTTATGTTGGCTCTTGACTTAAGAATTTTTAAATCTTGGGAAACCATAAAGGCTTTGTTTTTATGGACTATGCCCAATTTACATTTTTATAATTTTAGTACAAACTTTAGAAAAACCATGCTTACTCTCCTATCACTGATAGGACTATAAATTAGTGTGACTTTTATTGAAATGATACTCATGCCTTTGGACTAAATAATAATTCTACTTATCCAGATCAAAAGGAATCTAACCTATTGAATTAAAGATTGATTGTCAACAGTTCAAGTATTAGAATTTTGTTTAAGAATTATTTATATTAATAAAAGTTGAAAAATATCAAAAATAGGGAAAGAAGTAATTTTGAGTATTAAAACATTTTCAAAAACCATTTGAAAGATATGTGATCATAATAGGCTATATGAAATATCGAGTTTTGTATGACGTCTATTTTTTAGCAAGTTTTTAAAAAGTATGGTGAAAAGATTAGGAATAATTACAATGTACTGACTGGGTGATGGAATTAAAGGTAAGTTTTATGCCTTTTATAAATTTTCGCTTGATATATCTGTTTATAAGGAGAAAAATGTGTTAAGTGTAATTTAAAGAAATAGTAAAATATGTTGATATTTTCCCCTATCCTTTACCTGCTGAATAAAGAATTAAGCTCTTCAGATATGCTAATAATGATTTTATGTCGCCTAGTGAGTTTTGATATCATAAATGTTTCTTTCTAGAAATTGCATGAAATAATTTTAAAATGCTTTACAGCTTATATACTTTTGACATGCGTTCACTGGACACTCCTTTAATGGTGCATATGGATCATGTATCTGCCGTGCTTGACGTGGATTACTCTCCCACTGGGAAGGAGTTTGTGTCTGCTAGTTTTGATAAATCGATTAGAATCTTTCCTGTGGACAAAGGTCGAAGCAGGTAGGTGATTACCAGTAAACCATTTATTTTTGTTTGAATTTTCTTTGTTGTGATCATCATTTGATAGTGTGGTTATGTGTCTGTGATGAGACTCATCCCCAGGTCTTGTGACTTTAAGTTCCACCTGCCACTGTACCATTGTAATATCATCACTGTTATTTTAGTATTTAAAGTAAACTTTTCAAAAATAAAGGCCTTTTATAGCAGTTTAAGATTTGCAACAAATTTGAGAGATACTCCCTCCCACCTACCCTCCACCCCACACCTGCATGGCATTTCCCATTGTCAGTATCACTCGCAGAACAATACATTTGTTACCATGTAGGGTAAGCCTACATGGGCCTGTCATCACCACTCAAAGCTGTACTTCACCTCAGGATTCACTCTTGGTGCCGTACTTTCTGTGGATTTGAACAAATCGATGATGACATATCCATTATAGTAACAAAGAATATTTTGATTGCCCTAAAATACAGTAAATTTAAAAAAAGAATTTGATAGTGAAGAACTTAGATAAGTTTTGTCCTAGTAATATTTTAAAAGCAGATAACAAACAATACCCTATATATACTATCTCTTACTCAAAGGCAGCTCTTAGACAATAAGGTAGAAATAAAAAAGAGAAAAACAGCAGTTTAAATTATAAGGAACATGGCCCTCCCTGGTGGTGCAATGGGTTAAGATGCAGCACTGCAAGTTGGCCACATCCACTTCAGTGTGAGTTCGATCCCTACTCCGGAGGTGATCCACATGGCAGAGCAGACCTCTCCTGTCTCACCCGCTGCTCCCCTCAGCAGTGCACTTCGTCGATCTGCCTGATCTGCTCCCCACTCTGTCTCTGGTGATCCTCTCACCACCCCCTGTACCTCTGGTCTGTACCCCAGTTCTGTATGTAAAAATAAATAAATTTTTAAAAATTATCAGGAGCATTCTCCTTCCATTCCTCATAGTAGATATATAGCATGGAATGAAAGAAGAGGCAGAAAATAGGAATACTCACTTGTTTGTTTCATTCTGTAAGCACACTGAATGTGATTCCAGTGTTTAAGGTATGTTTTATACAGTTTATCTGGTCCTTCACCACGTTACTGAACATAGTTTGTATACATTGTGTTATAGTATATCATAAAATGTATCATATAGAAAACGATGGCATTTCAAAACCTAACTGCTGAGTCACCAGCTTGCTGTGCCAGCAGAGCTGGGAGTAGGCAGATGAGGTATTCAGGAAACAGAATTTAAGAAGTTACTCATTCTCAGTGTGTAGTGCAAGTGCCAGTCATCATACAGCTATACCATCCTTCATGAGTGAGGACTTCCTTGAATTTTACTCTGAAAGTCTCGTCATTTGTGTTCTGGGGCAAAACAGTCTATATGTAGCTCTTTTGGTCATAGCCAATTTGTTTGTCTAATTCCTAGGTGTTTTCACTTTTGATAGTTACTTCTTTCTTCCTTCTAATTTGAGGAAGCCTTAGTTCCTAAACCACATTATATCATCATTGACTACCAGCAGATAATTGTCATCATCTGTATGCATCTGATTAAAAAGTCCTTGAATCAAAAGCATGTTGTCTGTACTGATGACTAATCTTTTTTCCATTATCTCCTTTATAGGACTCTTGTATTGGTTCCTGTATAACTGTTGTTTCCTTTTCAACTAATTAGCTATTTTCTAAACCATCATGAATGGTTTATTAGGATTATTCATTCAAGTCCAGTGCAAATCTGAATGCTTCCATTTATCTCACCTCTCTATAAAATAATATCAAGGGATTGTTGCCTTCCATTATTTATACCAGAATCACCAAAGGCAGTATGATGATAAATACTTTTCTAACATGATGCATAAACAGCCATGGGAAATGACAAAGAGGAAGAGTACTGGAAATGTTTAGGTACCAGTGATCCACAACCCAGCAATTGAGTTGAGGCTACATTATTCTAAAACTAATGTGGGCAACTAGATGCAGGTGCTAAAATAGTTCAAACTATCCCAAAATTAAACATGAAATGAGGAGCTCTTAAGGTCCCATTAAGGGAGTTATCTCCTGATGTTATTTGGCGTTGTTGTAATCAAAATCTTGATGTCACACATTAAGGTCTTCCTGTGGGAGTACTCTCTGACATTCCCTTAGGCCTTTGCCTTCATATGCTTAAAAACTAGTTTCTATGGTCTGTTCTAGTTTTCTATAATAACAAACATCAAATAGCGTAGGCAATGCTTTGACTAATCTGTATTTCAAAAATAATCTTCCTTTAAAAGAGCTTAAAATGGTTAAAACAAATTTGAGTAGATTTTATTAAATTTATGGTTAAGATGGTACTTAAAAATAGGCTTCTATTGAGATTTCATTCATTATATTAAGTAAACAAGTAAATCAGTTGCATGTACAACTGATTATTTTTAACTTTAAGAAAACTTAAGATTTTAAATGTATTAATATTTATCTCCTCTAACTTTTTTTTTAAAAAGATTTATCATTTACTCATGCAGAACTGTGGTACAGGCCAGAGGTGCAGGGGCAGTGACAGGCTTCACCAGAGACAAAGTGGGGAGCAGAACAGGCTGACTGACAAAATACACTGGTGAGGGGAGCAGCGGGCAGGTCAGGAGAGGTCTGCCGCACCATGTGGGTCACCTCCTGGGTGGGGATCCAACTCATGCTGAAGTGGCTTTAGCTTCTTAGTGCTGTGCTTTATCCTGCTGTGCCACCAGGGAGGGCCCCTAATTGTTTAACTTTTAATGAGCTTTTATAAAGGTATCATGTGCAAGCATGAACATATCTAGAAGTTAAGAATATTGCATAGTTGGGCCCTCTCTGGTGGCACAAGGGATTAAATGCAGCACTATGAAGCTATCTGTAGCCACTGCAGCACAAGTTCAGCCTCTGGCCAAGGCGGTGAACCACCTGACAAGCCAGACTTCTACTGTCCTGTCAGCTGTACCCCTCAGCAGTATATTTCAATGTAGCTGCCTGTTCTGCTCCCCACTCTGTCTCTGGTGAATCCTCTCACCTCCCCACCCCCACATGTCTGCCCTATACCCCGGTTCTTGTATATATAAGTAAATCTTTAAAAGAAAAAAAAATTGCAGTTTCCACTGAAGAGGGTTCTAAGTTGGTTAACTGTTGACTTGGAGTGGTTTTGAGACAAACAGGTTATTTTTAATGGCTACCAAAGCCTTACTGAATTGCCTGTGACTCAAATTCATTATGTTGCTATGGGGAAAAGAGCCTTATAAATAGGTAGCAATTAAAAGAAATGAATCTGTAAAATGAAGACTATTAAGAAAAAGTCTGTCTCAGCTAGTTTTTATTGTAATAGGTTAATCTTTCTAACCATCCTCCTCCTTAGAAATGAATTACTAATGATTTATCCAGGTTCATTCAGGATATCAAAATATATCAGTATAAACAGTTTTTATGAGTGTATTTCAGAGATTTTTTAGAGATTTGCATCTGATTTGGTCATTCTGTATACATTTTCTCTGCTGCACTTGCTTCCTTTCTCACAAGTTGTCTGAATTTTGAGTCATTAATGTAGATAGAGGAAATTTATTTCTCTAGAAATCTGGTGGGTTTTTCTCAACCTTCTCTTTTATTTGCTTTTTAACGTTCTTCTTACACGTCCCAATATAGTATCTTCTGTGAAGATTTAGCATGAATATTTAGCATGTTTCACAACCTTTCCAAATAGGTAATGATATTTGACATCTCCATCTGTTAAATGATCCTTACCTCAATTCACAGATAACTGCTATAGCTCTCTTTTTCCCTACACATGTAAATCATCAGCTCTCACTTCAATTAATTAAGCTTTTTAAACAGTTCTACCAAAACAAAAGTCAGATATTAGGATCATTGTATTAGGATGTGCACTTTGAGTATCACTGCATTTACTATTTCTTCTAGTAAAAGAGGAAAAAAATTTGGATGTTGGTCTGCATTTATTTTGGGGGTGGGAGATAGGGCCTTATTAAAATTAATCCATTGCTTGTTGGTACAGAATTACTCCAACTTCAACATGTTTTGTTTGTATCATAGCCTTCAGTTAGTGAATGCTCTGGGTATCTATTTTTACTTTATTTTTCTCAGTGTATTGTAACTTCTCTGAGGGCAGGTATTTTTAAAAAAAACTCCCCAGCATTTAACATAGAATCTCACTAAAATAAATTAAAATGAATTTGAATTTCTCTTTATACTATTAGGTCTGAAAAGTGGTATCCTGTTAATTAATAGGCAGTGACTAAAAAAAGTCTGCCCATAATTGTAAGATTCCTAACTTAATTTCCTCTTATACAGAGAAGTCTATCACACAAAGAGAATGCAGCATGTTATCTGTGTGAAATGGACTTCCGACAGCAAGTACATTATGTGTGGATCTGATGAAATGAACATCCGCCTGTGGAAAGCTAATGCTTCTGAAAAATTGGGTGTGGTAAGAGGCCCCATTTTCTTTCCATTGTCATTAAAGCTAGTTTCTGATTTTATTGTCTGTATGTTGTAAAGAATTTGAAGTACTGTAGATATTTTGATCAAACTGACATTGTGATAAAAAGGAGTAAGTAAGCAACAAAACAGACAAGGCTGCACTGAGATTTACATTTATCGCGTCAAAGACACTTTGTCAGTTCAGATATTTGATACTATTTGAGTGTTCTTGATTTTTAAATATTTTCCTGAGGTTGGGGAAGATGGAGCAGCTAGAAGCTTAGAACTTAGAATTCCTGTTTTTTTCTGTCAATGGCATAATAAGGCAAATTAAAAGATGCAAGTCCCAATGAGGGCTTTTAATATCAGAGACACAATGAGGCACTTAAACAGCAAAGTCTGTGGGTATTTTCAAAACCTGTTCCAGTGTGTGTTAGATTAGGAGTGGGGTATTCCTCACATAATCAGTAAGCAGTGCTCAGTGTCTGAGTATTCTTCTCAGTTCTGACATTGTCTACCCAGATACACTATCACATTACACAAGTTAGGAGCTCAGTGCTACAAGACTCTCGCCCTTCACAATACACCCCACACATATACTTCAGATGTCAGTTGCAATAATCTAGGCTTTTGACTCACCAGCTATAGATTGGTGGTTCTAACAACCCGCTCTTTGAACTTCAGATACCAGTCACAAGTTCAGATTGTTACTTGCCTCTGACCATTTGGCTATACACACTTCCTCCTTAGGTTCAGTTAATTTGCTAAAGTGGTTCAAAAAAAGTCAAAGGTGGATCCTCCCTGGTGGCGTACTGGGTAAGGATGCAGAACTGCACGCTAGCCTCACTTCAGTGCAAGTTTGAGGCCTGGCCATGGGGGTGACCCACATGGCACGGCAGACCTCCCCTGACCCACCTGTTGCTTCCTTCAGCAGTGTACCTCATTGATCTGCCTATTCTGCTCCCTACTCTTTCTCTGGTGAAGCCTCCCACATCTATAAAGCAGAGACATTTTACGGGGTTGGAGAGGGGGTAGGATCAAAACTCAGGAGGCAGGAGTGCACGGGACTATGGTGATGGCACACAGGTGAATTGCTGGTGGGAAGTCTATGGGGATTACAACCAAGATGAAAAAATGCTCAAAATGAAGAATGATGTAAAAAAAAATTAATAAAAAAGGATATTTGAAAATTAAAAATGTATTCCTCTAAATTGTATCATCCATTTATTAAATAGAGGCTAGTTACTGCAGAAGTTACTACTTTTCTTTTTCTGTTTCAGTTGTTATTTTTTACAAAGACAATTTTGGGTGATTAAGTGCTTGTTCTGTGTTATTATTTATACCTAAGGAAGGTTCAGCTCAGTGGTCCACAGACATACTTGCCTTAGCCCAGCTGTTTTTTATTGGTTTTTTATCTGTCTACATGGGGAGGATGTTATCTCAAAGGCAGCTTGTTGCGCAGAGAGCTTGTATTACTAACACAATATTGTCTAATGTAGAGTTAACACTGGCAGTTTTGGTGGCATTCATGAAAGATTTTGGGGGGCAATACAATATTCATTAAAATATCAAAATGCATTTTTTTTTCAGCTTACATCACGAGAAAAAGCAGCCAAAGATTATAACCAGAAATTGAAAGAGAAATTTCAGTATCATCCTCATATAAAGCGTATAGCTCGTCACCGACATCTGCCAAAGTCTATCTACACACAGATTCAGGAGCAGCGAATCATGAAGGCAGCACAGCGACGAAAGTATGTGTTGGGGCACTTGACTCTCATACCCCTTTCTAGCTCCACCCTCTTTCCTCACCAAACAAGCAGACAAATCCCTGTCCTTGAGGAAGTAGTTTATGAGCTGTTATGCATTAGAGATGTTTTAGAAGACTTTCTGGGCTCTTATTCTTGATAAAAGAGGGAGCAGTGATCATTTGACATTGTGACACTTCCCATGACTTGTTTTGGAGAATATGTTGAAGGCACAGTGAAAATGTTTGTTGTTCAAAGTAAGAAAATGCATATGTTAAAGTAAACTGTTGTGGGCAGATGTTTTAAAAAATGATTTCTAGTGTGGCTGGAATGAAGAGGTACATTTTTTCCAATTTAAAGAATACAGAAAACCGGTGGCAAACATTTCTTAGACATTTCTTTAATATGTGTCATCAGAACATTTGGAATCAGAATTATCACCACAACCATTTCCTTATGGGATATTCTATTGGGAATCCTTGAATTCATGCAAAGTAACAGACAAATTCTAAGATTGAGGGTTTTTTTTTGTAATGAGACCTATACAGATGATTATTATTCTCCTCTCTTTGGGTAGATATTGGAATTGAATGAATTAAACATTTTAATAACTAAGGCAGGTTTTGAAACTTAATAGAGGGGATTTATATAAGGAGAGAAGAAACAATTAGCAAAAGTTGATTTCCAGCTACATTTTACCTAACCTCATTGTGAAAGCTTTTTTTTTCTTTTTTTTTTCCAGTAAAAATTTTTATTTTTCTGAGAAAGCTTTTTCGGTTAAGATGATTTTTCATACATTTGCTTATACTTTTCATGTTGTGTTTATTTTTAGGGAAGTGAATCGTCTCAAACATAGCAAGCCTGGATCTGTGTCAATTGTGCCAGAGAAGAAGAAACACGTAGTGGCAGTAGTGAAATAATTTTGGTACTCCAACAAATCCTGATGTATAATTATGTGTTCCTCTTTGATAAGCGAACTGTATGAATAAAACTCCTAGCTCTGATATAACAACACACATTTTAGTTATCTATGTAGAGCTTTATCATTGCTCATTTTTGCTACCTTGAAAAATTATCCTTAAAGGTGGCCTGGGTGATAACGAGTGTCCAACATTTTGTCCTTGATCTACTTTCTTACTTTATTGACAAATACAGTATTTGCAAACACTCATTTTTTGCTGTTAGAAATTGCAGACATACTTCCACTGTGATCTCTTGTTATAGATACTGTACATTGAATTTACATTAAAAATCAAGTATCTTTTTTGTTCTCTTTAGTATAATTTTGGATATCGCTGCGATGATTCTCCCTATAACTACATATGACATTCTTCCATATAGAGAATTATTTCAGAACTTTGTTCAATTGATTTTCTGTGCTTTATTTATATTTGACTTTTAAAGATATTAAAGCTCATCAACCTGCATTTACATAATCTTTATAAATAATGTAATTTATAGTCAAGATAATAAAACATCCTTTTTCTCTGCATTGTATCTTTGATCATTTCTGCTAAATAATTTCTCTTCAATCTCAGTCAGTCAGTCGTAGTTTTGTGTGACCTTTGTTTCTACTTCTCTTTTCAAAATGCAATGATCTGCAAACTGGGAGGGACAGCCAAATAGCTTTTCATCTGGAGGGAGGGGTAGAAACTAAAAGCATGGTGTCCTTGAGCCAAAGTAGATGGACATCCAGTTATTGTACCCCTTGACATCACTGACCAGAGAAAAGCAAGAATGGGGGAGTTGCCATTTGCCAAATCAGCAGTGGCGTACTATGCACCTGAGCGCTAGCAACATCTGCTAGCAACATCTGCTAGTGCTCAGTCCTGATCCAGCTGTGATCAGGACTCTCGACTGCGTGCAGTAGTCCGCATTATAGCCATTCTCAGGAACCCATCTGGTTTGTACAGAAGTCAGAATGGCAAATTAAATGGAAATATGAAAGAGATCACACCTGCTTCCTTCCTATTAATTAGGTCTGTGATGGTAGAACTGAACTCCCCTGTCCTATCCACCCCAGAAGTAATAGTGTTTGTGACTTACTGTCTTGCTTGGGAATGAGGTAGAAATAGTTTCTACTTGTTTTCCCTCACTGTCACAACTCTAACCCCACAGTTCAAGGACACAATATGGTGGTTATTGCAGTTATATAAATTCCTAGTTATGCACCTGGGAATTGAAGAAACAAAACTGGATGTAGTGAACCTACTAAAATTTAAACTTTGAATAGGTCTGCATTTGTTTATTGGTCTCAATAAGCTGCTGTTCTGACAGGAACACGTAACTTCAAGTCTTTGGGAATCAATGTCATGTCAGTCTGTAGTCTGGGTATTCCTTACTCCCCAGTGAACATTTAGTTATCTGAGTAAATAGCCATAAATCCTTTTGAGAATCCACTGTAGCATTTATTTACTGTGGGTTTGCAAGGTTTTCCCTTTGCAAGCTCAAGCCATTTCTTCAGTCAGTGATCCCAGTAACTGAGCAAGAGATTGTGCCTTTTTATTTAACTATACTTGACCCCCTGCTCCTTGCTTCTGCCTTTCTCCGGTTGGTGATGTCAGGGGATACCTTCATTGGATGCCCATCTACTTTGCCACAAGGACACCATTCTTTTACTGTTTCTGCACCTTCTATAGATGTGGAGTATTTGGCTGCCCCTCCACTTTTGGTATGATTTCTTGGGTTCTAACAGTTAAATACCACCACCTATGCCCAATAACTGGTATACATTTAGAAGCATGGGTATCATCACCAGGGTTTCTAATGAACCTAGTTCTGTGACAGCTTCTACCACTAGTTTTACCCTACAGAGAATAACAATAGACTTTTTGATAGTGATCAGTGCTCCTCACACAGTCTTCTAGGTTTTGTCCCAGGACATAATATGTTAGTCTTACTTTACATAATGTATCCACTCAGCATGCCAGCTTCCTTGAGCTCTTTATTTCTTCCTCTACAGGCTGCCAGGGCAACACAGGTGTCTCAACTTTGCTCAACTTTGACCATCACTTTCTCCAAGCTTCTAAGAACTACTCTAGCAGTGAGTTTGCCCTATCTACTGTGGTCCTTGCCAGGGTGCTAAATCCCTTGGTACACGAAAGTGTCCCCAGTTCAATGAACTACTCATTTTCTCATTGGTATGTTCCTGCCTCTTGATTAATCACAGTAGTGCAAGTATACACTAGCTAATTCTTACAACTCCTTTGGTGTGTATTTGCTTTCCTCTCTTGTTAAGCCTACCATTTCCCTTGTCAAGAAATGCTGCAAGTTAAGTCATCATTGACCCAGCAGCCCAGAGTGTAGGTAGGGAGAACTCTAAACCCAGTTGCCTTGCAGAGGAAGAGCTCTATGTGATCTTTTCACTTGGGGAACGTGCTAGCTCTCAACTTTCCAAACTCTAGAGTTTAGGGAGATGTATAGTGCCCAGTTCCTTTGGAACATACTTGGAGATCTCCCAGCCCAGTTCTGGTGTTTTCCCTTCCAGAGGAATGTCCTCATATGGACTTAGAGTGGCTGAGCACTTGAAGGTCTTAGTTCTGAAGCACTTATCAAGTCCTATGTCTGCTGCTCAACTTGGTCTGCATGTTCATTGAAGAAGGTAAGGACTTATATGTAAACTAATGAAGACTTTTTTGGGGTATTGGTTCACACCTTTTCAGATATATGTTGCCAAAGGTCCCCCCATCCTCCTTTAAGGTAGCCTCAATTCTACAGTCAGATTTTTTTTTTATAACGATTTATTTACTTATGCATACAGAACTGGGGTACAGGCCAGAGGTACAGGAGCAAAGAGGGTTCATCAGAGATAGAGTGGGGAGCAGAACAGGCAGATGGACGAAGTACACTGCTGAGGGGAACAGTGGGCAGGTCAGGAAAGGTCTGCTGCACTGTGGTCACCTGTCTGCACAGGGATCCAACTCCCACTCAAGTGGAAGTGGCTGTGGCTTCACAGTGCTGTGCTTTAACCTGTTGTTATCACCAGCGAGGGCCTTCTGCAGTCAGATTTCTAAGGTTGGTTTTGGTTTGATGTTCCTTTGCTCTGTTTTTTTGTTTGTTTTTTTAGTCTGTGTATGTGTAAAACTACCTTTTTTAGTTCACTAAGCATTATGCCCTTCAGTTCTGTCCATGTGACCTTTAATTTTTAATGGATTTCAGTTTCTCATTTTTCTGCATCTTAGTAACCAGTTAAATGGCAGGAGAGAATTCTACCACTGAACCACCAATGCCATAACCAGTTAAGTGATGGTTACAATCATCATGCCCTTCCTCCCTTTCAAGTGCTCAATCCTGTCTACAAGGATAGTTCTCTTCATCATGTCGTTTCCCTCTATGATAACCACTGAAATCTTCAGCAAATAGGCCACTCAGAATGGGAACATTTTTATCAGCTAAGTATTTGAGTTAGTCTTTCTCCAAGCTACGTTGAACTTCTAGTATCACCCAAGTCTCTTAGATTCTCTAGGAACAGATGTGAAAGCATCTGTGACAGCTTATTGGAGAGAACCGTATGTGAACGATAAACGGGAGGAGACAGGATTGGTAGGTATCCTTCTAACTACTATAACTTGATACTCTAAGTAGAGAGGGAAGAAACACCTCGGATTTCAGTTCTAACGAGTTTTAGCTAAGCAAATGGGGATTCTTTGAGTCCAAGTGACCCTTTAGAGAAGTTCTGAATCCTGCAGTGCAGCACTAAGACTCTTACTGTTTTCAGTTTGCCTGAGGACGGCCAACGAATGAGTCACTTTGGTGGGACCCTCCCTGGTGCTAGATCCAGGGTGGGTACTATGGGATTCTTAGTTCTCCTTACTGTCCATGCTCTTGAAGGAAATCTGAGTGGCACATTTCCATGGCTGCTACAGCCACCCACTTTCATGCCTGTTGTCAGATGCTTTAATATCTATATTTCTATACAGGAAATTGCAGATAATATTATGGCTTACACTTAAGATTTTACTTATTTTTAACATAAGTGACATTGTATTTCATTTGCAAAGTGTTGTTTAACTATTGGTCTTAAATGATATTAACTGTCTTGGAAGTAGCCATGAGAGAGAACCATGTCAAGCTCAATACTTAGCACTGGGTATATAGTGGGTATTCACAAAATGTTTTTTTTAAAGATTTATTTATGCATGCAGAACTGGGTACAAGCCAGAGGTGCAGGGGCAGTGAGAGGATTCACCAGAGACAGGGGGGAACAGAACAGGCAGACTGACAAGTACACTGCTGAGGGGAGCAGCAGGCGAGAAAGGAGAGGTCTGCTGTGCCATGTGGGTCACCTCCCTGGCCAGGGATCAAACTCGTGTCAAAGCAGCAGCCGATAGCCTTGTAAGTGCTGCGCTTTAACCTGTTGCGCTGCCAGGGAAGGCCCACACAAAATGTCTTTTGACATGAAACCCAACTGTGTTCCTGGTTGAATGTTTGCTGATGACTTCCTTTTTAATATACATTTTCTTGACTCAATCCTTTTTCTCCTAGCTCCTTTGTTTTCCATAAGTCTGGAAATGTAGAATGTTCCCATTTAAGGAGAATGCCTTCTTAAAATAAATATATTTTATCCTGAAAGAGTAAAAAATATTGTCCAAGTGCATGACTGAAAAATAAAACATGTTACTCAGCTTTTTGATGGTTCATTTATTGAAGTTTACCTCAATAAAAATATTTAAGGGCCCTCCCTGTTGGCGCAGCGGGTTAAAGCACAGCACTAAGAAGCTAAAGCCACTCCACATGAGTTCAATCCCCGCCTGCCCCGGAGGTGACCACATGGCGTGGCAGACCTCTCCTGACCCGCCCATTCCTCCCCTCAGCAGTGTACTTCATCAATCTGCCTGTTCTGCTCCCCAGTCTGTCTCTGGTGAATCCTCTTACCCTCATATCTCTGGCCTGTACCCCAGTTCTGTATAAATAAATAAATAAATCTTAAAAAAAATATTTAAGCAATTTTTTAAATCATTAAACCATACCTCAATTTAAATGAATGAATTGAAATA